TTCAAGGTGTTCCAAAGCCTGGCTTCAGCTCACTTCCCCAGACACAGTTTAACCCGCAGCCATGCACTCCACGCATGCGTGCTGTTCATGTCTGGGAATACATGGTGCAATAAACCAGGGCTGGCGTGTTGGATCCTTGCTTGCCAGCACCCAGCTGTGTGACCTGGCTTCACGCTTTGGACGTTCTTACGCATCCCTTTCCTCTGTTGTATGATGAACATAGTAGCCCCTGCACATCACAGGTGGCTGTGAGTATTCATTAAGGACAGAGGAAGACGATACAGAGCCACATACAGGAAAGGGGCGTCACACATGGTATCTAAGAGTAGCGAGGTTATAGGAAGTGCTATTCCATGTGTTGTACTTGAAATTCAGGGTTCTCTTTGTTTCCCATAGGGTGGCTTCTTAAATTCTTTTTCAATCTCAGTAAAGCATTGCTTCCTCTGAGAATTATTGATGCTCATCAAGTAGAGCACATAATTCAAACCTAAGAACCGTTGCAGGCTTCCATGGCTACAGGACCCGTCTGACAGTTTCTTCCCCCTATAAACTGTGATTTGGTTGCTGGTTTACTTGTGTTTCTTGCTTACTCTCTTTCTGCTACTCAAGTTAGTCTGACGTCCACATTTCAGATCCCCTGTCAAATCCCTAGCAAACAGCACATGCTCAAGAAATGTTTACCAGGAGCAGACTAAATCCTCACCTTGCATGCACAGGGATCCCATATGAGCACCAGTTTGTGTCCTGAATGCTCCACTTCCCATCCAGCCTGTGACCTGGGAAAGCAGTAGTGGATGGCCCAAAACCTTGGAACCCGGCACCCACTTAGGAGACCTGGAAGAAGCTTCTAGCTCCTGGCTTTGGATTGGCTATCTCCAGCCGTTGCAGCCTCTTGGGGAGTGTGAACCAGTGGATGGAAGATCTTTCTCTGTATCTCCTTCTCTCTATGTATCTACCTTTCCAACAAAAATAAATAAATCTTTTTAAAAAGAGAAATGCTTACCAATAATTGCATCCACAAAGAGAAAGGAGAGTATTGAAAAACTGGTGCATAGACACAATTTCACGTGATAACCACAGCAATTGACTTCACCACTGAGGAGGAAAAGCTGTGAGTTTCCCTCAGTACGGCAGCATAAAATAGATTGTAAATTAAACAGAAGTAACTGACAATATCCCTTTGATGGTGTTTTTCTCTTCCATCTTGATCTGATGCCAAGGTAATGTTATCATAAAATAATTCCATTAACTACAATTGTGCAGCTTAGTCAGCCATTACTGTCATTGAAACGTGAAATTATATTCAAAACTGAAAACAAAGGCTTACACAGGAATAAACAGCACTAACACGCAGATAGATTACATGGGGTAGAAACAGAAAGAGCGATGTGACAGGCATTGTAGCCCATGCTCAACACAAAGAGATGATTGCATCTTAATATTTATTCACACATGAACAATGAAAACAAATCACAATGGCAAGGATATTCAGGTTAAACTCTTGTTTAAAAAGGCAGAGGGGTCCACCACATTTCTTGCGACTACAAGCTACACTAGGAGTGCCTGAGCTTCATGCAAATAATTTGCTGCCCAACATATATCCACGACCTGGAGGTGAACTAGTGTATAATATTTACAGAAGACACCAAGTTTGCAGGGGAAAGATACGTTAAGATTAGCAAGGGCAGAATAAAGCAAGATGCAAAATAACAAGGCCAAAGAGAGCACCAGAGAGCAAATGTGTGGGTCCAGAATGTTGCTTCCGAATGCAGCTAGAAAAAAATGGCAATGACAGTTGTTCCTAGGTGAGCCGAGTCACACTCCAGATGTCTACTAGAGGGGTGAACCTGGCTTCTGCGATGCTCATCATATTGAAGTGATGGGCTCCAGCACAGGCCAGCAGCACCAGGCATCCTCCCAAGGTGGTCGGTCCCTCCTGGCTTTCACATAAGGATGGTGAACAGCAGGCACTTTCAGATGCTGTGATTCCCATCAAGAGACAAAATGCACTTCTCAAGGATCGTGAGCTCCATGGGCCTGCCCTACATCTGTCTTCCTTTATTCCTTCATTGAAAACAAGGATGAAGACATGGTTGCCGGCATAGCTGTGCCATAATGGCAAGGATGCCTTTGCTGACCACTTCAGCTTCAAGCCCTTACGTTCTTTTCCGAATTCCCACTGCACTTGGAGAGGGTGGCATGGGACCTAGCGACTCAAATCTATGTAGGTTTGAGCTTCTCAGCAGCCCCAAGCAGCACCCACCACATGACCATCAGAGACACTTGTCTCAGACTCTGACTGAGGAGATACTGGCACCAAAAAACAAAAAAAGTGGAAGAAAAGGAATCGCTTTCTTTGGTCATGGAAGGAAATGAATTGTCCCATCAAAAACAAATTAAATAGAAACTCTAATTTGTTTCAACAGCTTCTCTTGCCCCCTTTTCCCAACTACACCCTGAATTTTGGGGGAAAAAAATTCTAAGCCCTTGTAAATGTTCATGTGCAAAGGGAAAAATGGCAAGGGAAGAAATAATGGGAGCTAGATCAGCTGCAATTATGCACGTGGGGAAAGAGAACAAAGGAATAACAGGAAACAAATACAATAACAGACACAATAAGCCTAAAAGTGATCATTATTCGGACTTCCCACCAGCTGCCTCACAAACTTCAAAGTGTTGAACATACTACTGTTTAGTTCTCCAAATAAGATGCTCCTTAGTATGAGGGAAAATTGTGATTGCTTCCCAATGCCCTTGAGCCTTTACTGGAAAGCACGGGTTATCGATAAAGAGTCTACAATGCACAGTACACATGGAGCCTTCCTTCTCCTTTCATGAGCTACTAGGACATTGTTACAGCTTAGGCAACATTGCTATTTAGGAGGAATATGCAAGATCAGGCCTAGTTTGCTTTCAGGATATCTCATCTGACAAAATGTCAATGCTGTTTCACAGACCAGGCTAGGGACACAACAGAGGAAAACCGATCACTCCGCTCCATAAGGAGGCAAAGTCGCTTCATGCTCCAGAGTTAGGGATTCTGCACAATGACATGCGTTAAGGCAGACAAGAAAGCAAATGAAAAAGAACCCTGTTTTAATAAGTGGAAGAGAGATAAAATAGGAAGGAAAGAAGGGAAAGGAAGAGGGGGAGAGAGAGAAAGCAGAGAGGGAAGAGCAAGTAGGGGAAAGAAGAGTAACATAGATCAAAAAGAACTGGGGAAGAAGACAGGAAAAGTTGAAAAGATTCAATCTTCTTAGAGACCAGATATCCTTGTCTATTAATCGGGAAGATAGTATCTGAATCCTTCAACTCCTCCAAGAAACTCAACTCTTAGAAAAACTCAATGGAATCTCTTACTGGTTTTTTGTTAATTGGCAAGTACTTCTCAAACTTTAACATCAGATTAACTGACTAAACTAGAGGAACTGGAAAACATTTCATTGTCAAAATCACCTAAATGACATTGGTTTAGGGGCATGGTTCAAGCTACACATCTTTATACACATTATCTGAAAATTCAAAGAGTGTTTTAGAAGACTAATGAACAACTACAAGCTTCAGATGCCTTGTTGAGTACAACGCTTCAGCAGGGAGGGTGTTTGGCATAGCAGTTTAAATGTTGCTTGGGACACCTACATCCCAATTTGGAGTACCTGGGTTGGAGTCCCAGCTCCACTTGTGATTCCAGCTTCCTGCTAATATGCATCCTGGGAGACAGCAGGTGTTGGCTCAAGTGGTTGGGTCCCTGCCCTCTATGTGGAAAAGCTGTACTGAGTTCCAGGTTCCTGGGCATTTGGAGAGTGAACAAAAAATTCATTCTCCTCTCTCATTCAAATGAATCAGAAACAGATTAGGATCTTAAGCTTTGCTAGCTCATCCATTGTTACAATCAAAACGGCAATTACAGACTTCAACTTTCCTTTTGCAACACAACCCTGCAACAGAATCCACACCTATCAAGATGCCTACTCACCCCCTGGCCACACTGCATCACTAAATCCTCAGCATAGGACCCAAGACACAGGATTTAGCATAGGATTTTGCAAGGACAGCAAAGGAACATAGGGTTGCTACAGCTAGTAGAACAGGGATCTGTGGCTTCCAGTGTCCTCCACTCTAGAAAAATTAGCTCAGACGTCACCAACAGAAAGCAAGCAAAGTCAAAATCAAGAGAAACTATCCTATCTGAAGTCAGCCATATCAGAAGTCAATACATCCCATGGAGTTTTCATCAATACGCAGAATAAAGCTCCATTCCTCCCTAAGTCAATTTCAGAGGAGTGTTCCTTGTTCGCACTGTAAGAATCCAGACAATGCATTCCAAGTATGTGTTTTTCTTATTTTCTATCACATACAATTGGCCTGTTCACATACAGTCACTTCCTTTATGTACTTTGGCCTTACAGCCAAGATAAACAGATGATTCTTTTGTAGATTGCATTTGGATGCCTCCATCTCTGAAATCGTTTAACAAGCATAACCTTTGCGATACCAGCCATCAAAATCTCTTTAGGCTCTCTAACACATCTGTTTCACTTGCTGATTGTCAGGATCTCAAAAACACACAGGTCAACTGCAAACACCAACTCATCTGCTGTACATAACCTACCCAGCAGCCAAAGCATCAGGCTCCCTGAATTCTGCCCTCCCCACCCCACCTCCTCTCATTTTGAATCGAGATTCCTGGGAATTGCTCACTGTATCTCAAGCCAAAGGAAGATCGTTAGATGACACATAGAGGATCTTCAACGACAAGTCACATCCATCAGATGAAGCATAACTATGCAACATGCTAAGATTCCTTTTGTTCCCCTCTCCAAATGAGCTTAGAGGGTATAATTATTACATACTCATCATTCTCTAGGATGGATTTTAAGTTGTGTTTGATGGACAGCTGGTTGTAATTTTTTAAAGAATTCCTTCGACAGCACAAATACCGTTTTTATCCCTTAGCAATTACAGAGTTAATCAATCACTCTTACATAACAAGCACTCACTGTGAAAATAATGTCCTCGACCGAACAATGAACTTGAACACATATTCCAGAGCTTTCAGGGTTCTCAAGATGGGCTCGCATTGCTCCCCTCTGCTGGAGGTATCCAAGTATGTCTTCAGCACTGTCATCAGCTTCCTTGATTAAAAGATAATATTTTCAAAATACTTCTCTTTCTAGCTCTCAGCATGGTAATTAGTTTGCTCAGTAAATTATAAAGCATTCAATCAAAGGTTAAAGGTGGTGGTAGAGACAAGCTCACTCAGTCACTTGCAAACATAAAAATAACTCAGCTTAAAAACTGAATTTATTACAGGAAATGAATACGTATTTCCTCCTCCTCAAAAAGGCAGAAAAGTAAAAATCAGTTTAGGAAAATAATCTCTTTTGATGAGCAAAACTATTCACAATCAGGCTAGGAGTGGGAATGATGGCGGTGATAATGTCTTTTTTTAGCAGTTTGTGCCTATAGAAAACATTTTTGTAATATTTCTGCCGATAAGAAAATGTTCTCTCTTTTGCTCCAAAACATTCCTTGTTTCTTCTCTACTGTTAGTGTAACCTTTAAACTATGTGGCCTTCCTTTCAGGGTTCTTTCACAAACTGGCCACCACCAACCCTTCCAGCATCAACTCCCATCTCCAGTCCTCAGCTGCCTACACCCAAACTAAACCAAGCTACTCGGCAAGTGCATTTCTTTCTCTCTAGTATTTGAGACCTGGTATTTGCCACAAGTGACTGCTCATGAAATGATGGCTGACTAAACAAAAGAAGGAATAATTCTACTCACTACCAACACAACACAGTACCCATTCTAACCTAGAGGTTTTGCGTACTTTTGAATTCTCCATAATGCAGGTGTGTTTTTTTATTTTGTCAGAAAGGATATAATTCACACAGGATAGTGACAAAAATACTTCTACATCAGGGATGCTCTGTGCAGCCCAGTATGGAAAAGTCAGAATTGGACAAGAAATTCCCATGAACAATTACTTACTTGTAAGCCAGTGTAGCACTGAAATGTTGTTGAATATAAGCCTCCAGGACAGTGTTGAAATGCTGAAATTTCCTGTCTGCAATGAGCCCTATTATGTAGATCTACAGAAGAGGTAACAAGAAAATTAGTATTTTCAGGCCAAACTCATGATAGGAAGCTGTGTTTACATGGTGTAATTGACCCTCTACAAAAATATATTTGCCCAGGTATTAGCTCACTGATACACAGTTAACCATTTTCTTCCGAATTGTTTCTTCCCAAAAATGTGTTTGATGAAGTGTGCTATTTGGTATTGTAAGAAGAATTTCATGCTCAAACAAGTTTGAGAAATCTCAGGTCATGACCATCAGCCTGCCTTCTCAACTATAAAACCTTGCAGAGTGTTCGACATGTGAGAATCATGTGCAGTTGGAATCTCCAAGAGGATCAAAGAAGGTGCAACTCTTTCCTTAGGTCTTTTAATCCAAGATCGTTTTGTCATGCAGCATGTTTCCTCCAGGGCTGGTGCTAAAGGGGGCCTTCCCCGGAAGCAGTTGATTCAACAACAGATGTCTCCAAGCAGCTTCTATTAAAGCACAAACACTCCTGATGTAAGAAGTGAACACATCATGAGTTTATTGGTCACACAGGTAACCCTAATGTAGATATTTCTGATGTTTATTTTGACATGACATGGAGAAAACCTGAGCTGTGGCAGGGAAAAGAGGAGGAGACCATGTGGAGAGAATGCACCACTGAAAATGTGTGAGAGTGCTCGATCTTTCTTTAGCTATCTCTTTCTCCCTGTTTTCTGTCTGTACCTATGCCTCTCTGTAGCGTTTAATACTGCAAAACACCTTCCCTCCATCTTACCAAAGCATCAAAGACGAGGATGTCATACTCATTGCTTTGAGAATGTTCCATCATGATGTTGAATAGAGCGTCCAGGGTGTCCTGGAGGAACTAGGTAAAACAAAGAAGGTGAGTCTGAGAGAGAGTGCAGCTGACACTGCGGGCCCACTCCAACCTAGTGAGTGCACGCATCCACCTCACCCCATGTTCAAGATGTCCAGACCTAGCATATTCACAACAGCCAGATCCTGACGTGACACAGTCATCCATCAACGGTAGAGCACGCGTATTGATAGTGCCCATGTCATACTGCAAGAATATTGCACAAAAAGAGCAAACTATTTCCACATACAACCTTGAGGATGGCCCTCACAAGCAGGAATGTTAAACAAAATGTTAGATAAACAATAAATATTCTTTATTAGTCTATTTTTTTTATGAAATTCAACAGCAGAAAAAAAGCCACTTCTGGTAAAAGTGGTCAGAATTGTAATTGCACCCCAAGTGGGTCTACTACAATGCTAAAAGTATTCTTCATCTGGGTGGGTACTTGAGTATGTATGTGTGTAAAAATTCATTGAGTTGTGCTCTTAAGTAAAGCAATCTGCACCTGTTTAACTATAAGCGTATTAAACTTCAATAACAAATTTGTTTTAAGAAGCAAAAAGGGAGTCAATGGCATCTCCCAAGATGACTTCTCCAAGCTGCCTAACAGCAACAGACCTCATCAAAGGGGCATCTGCGGGGAATTTTCTGCCATTGCTAAACCAAGGAGTTGAGTCAATAGTGCACATTTACAGCATTGATCTGGAAATTCTACCACTGCTTCTGTAGGTATGGGCAATTAAATAAAACTTGATTCCCCTCCCTCCTAAGGGATGGGTCAATATTTTCTACAATCCCTCAAAACACAGAGCTACCACGTACAGATGTTTAATTGCAGAGTTTCTACTTGTACCAAGCTCCTGATGGAAACAAGATCACCAGGACCGCTGGGAAACACTTGTCCCAATTCATAGTGCTGGAGAAGAGGGCTGCTTTAATTAGACCTGTACTTTAGACGCTTTATATTCAACGCCACCATGTGATTGCAATGATACACCTGACACATGCATTGTTTTCTGCTTGCTTCACTTAAAACGTAAGCCCTGATGTCTTTTTCTTTCTCATCTTTAATACATAATGCTCTCCAAGCAGCAGGAACCAAGAATTCTTTTCATTTCTAGCAACAGTGTGCATGTAGTGCTAAGAGGTCCTACGTCTATATATAGCAACATACAACAGCAAAAATAATTAGTACTATTTATTGACCTCTGTGTTTCCTATGCTTTAGTTCAATTACAGAGTAAAAGACTGTGCTGAGTAATTTTTGAATATTATCTTCTTGAATGCTCATAACAAACCTGAGAAGTATGTCACATTCATAATATTGTCATGTATATTTGGCAATTAGGAGAGTCGGGATTTATACCAGAGACTATACAGAGCCATAATTTTCTGCAGTGTGGCATTCACTGCCATAGAGCCAAATCATTTCCTGGATTTCCCAACCAGGACTCTTCATGAAAGCAGCATGTCCCATTGTTCGTTTCCCTTATGGAGGAGCCACCCTCCTTCAATGTTCAACATGCATGGGTGAATACAGATAAAACAATGCCATACTAACCTTTACCACTTCTTCTCCATCTACAATCTTCAATTTTTCTAAATTCTCCTGTAGCAGTTCAGGCTTCGTGCGCCATTTCAGCAATCCCAGTAGGCCCACTGAAACAGAGTCCAGGCAAGCAGAAGTCATGTTAACAGCCCTAACCTGCCTGTGTAGGGGACCCTGGGGATTATGTATCCATGCTTCTGCAGGTGCTCACAGCACATACCACCCTCACGGCTCCCTTACCATTCTGGGTGAGCTTTGTGGAACACACCAAGGTAGAAATGGAGAAAACATCCCGCGAGCTGACAGAGAGCCCCCCAACACTGCTGGAGCTTCTACTCAAGGTGGCTGTCTTATTTTCCACGTGGTGTCGATATGAAGGAAGAGTCAAATAAGCACTGGCATCCTCCATCTTTTTGCTGTCCCCCTGGAAACAACACTCTTGTTACCACTCCAAGCCAAACCCACAAGTCCAAGACAGCAAGGGAGACAAATTACAGGGCAGGATCAGAAACAGTGAGAGAAGTCATCAGAGAAGCAACGGACTTCAGCTAATGAGACAGCGCTGCTTCAGAAAAGTTAACATTCATGGAAAAAGGCTTGACCAATCAGGGGACTTCTCTAATAGCAAAAAGGGGAGAAAAAATCTTGGGATTCCCAGACAGGTCATTTTAATTCAATCTAATTTCTCTGTAATATCATCACACACAACCATCAATAAATAAGGAATCCAGCTTATTATATAAGTTTATAGCAAAGGGCATCCTGGAACTCATATCCTATTCTACCATTCACAAATCTGTCACAATCCTTGTACCCTCTCTGTCTGACCTTTCACTCTCTTGACTTAAACTGAGGATAATTATGTTCTCTACCACCTAGAATTGGTGAGCAGAAAAAACAATACATGATATAGAGAATACATAGAAGAGTGAGAGACATAGGGCCTTGGCAGGATGAAACAAATGACTAGAGGTAAGAATCACAGGAGAAAACACTTCTTGAGCCCTTGGGCTGCACCAACAGCTATAGCAAGTGCTTTTAATGTCCAAGTTCAATCAGTTCACATCCTTCATGAAAGTTTTACAACAATCATATGAAGCAGCTATTACCATCATCCTGCTTACAAATGAAGAAATAATTGAGCCTTAATTAGGGTAAGTAAAAAAAAAAACCAACAAAATTCAAAAAGTAAAAATTACTGATGGCAATGGAACCTCTGCTCTCAAGGAATTCCTAATATCTTAACAAAAATGGCATTCAAGCTAAACACAGCCTCAGTGTGTGATCAATGAGAAAAGCAGATGTTATGCAAAAAGGAAGGGAGTTTTCTGGAAAAGCCAGAGAAACTAAGAGAACCATGGGATCAGAGTGTATTTGCCATGCACATATCACAAAGCAGAATTAGCCTATCAGGTTAAGAAAATTTAATGGTACTTTTCTGTAATTCATTGCTGTCTGGTTTCCCTCCATGCAAATGGAAGCATCCTGCTATTGAAAGACAGAGTGCAAGAAAGCCCAAAGGTAAGAGTAGGCAAATACTTCCCTACTTTCCAAAAGCACTCTAATTTACCGCAATAAAAAGAAATAATAACAGCAGACATCATTACACTTTTTAGGCTAGTTTGCCTAGCCCTCTTGTATAGAATATCTCACTGAGATGTCAATAATATTGTCTTCACTAAAGGCAGGAAGGAAACAGACTCAGGAAAACAGGTGACACCATTGCAGACAGAGTCATCAGTAGAACCAGGGCCTGAGATGCTCATTTTTCCATTAACTTCAGTGCAGCGCAGCATCTCTCACATGTGTCTTAGAGTCTCTCACACATCCCTCCAAAGTCAAGACCCCATTTCAGCTGGTTACAATGTATTTACCAGGGACCAGTCATGGTCAAGTTTACACACATTGTTGCTAATAACCCTCACAATGATCCATCAAGAGCCTCATCACAGATGAAGGAAGAGCAGTAGGGAAGTTAAGATTTTGTTCGAGATCACAGAGCTGATAAACTCCAGCGAGTGTGACCTGGGGTTCCTGTTATTGATCACTAAGCAGGCCTGCCATCACCCCTTCTCTGCTTGTCCCCATCTCACTGCAGAGACAGTCCCGATTCAAAGTACCTTGAGGACAACCAAGTCGTGGCACCCATCATGCAGAGTGGTTCCATCTTCTTTCATCAGCTTCACATAGGACATAGCAAAGTTCTTTTCTCCTTTATCTTTAGCTGTAAATAGCATTGTGAGGTCAAGAAAGAATACGACACATGAGCCACCCAGCTGCCCCATTCCTCCCCGCTTAGGCAAGCAGCAGAGGTACTATTTGGTTAGGTACTCACATTCTAGAGATGACCGATGTCGAAACATGAATCGCAGGTGGATCCTCTGCATGTCTTCAATAGGGACAGCCACCTAGGCAGGCAGAAACCAGAGCTCAGGAGACAGAGTTAAAGGACCTGCCCCACTCCAGCCCACCACCCCCCATAGAGACAACCTGACCATTTAACTGAGAGCATTGCCTGCTGATTTACTACCTATCCATCAAGCCTGATGAACTGTAAATAAATTACATAAGAACTAGCTATGAAGAGAAAATAAAGTACCAAATGTAATCCATTTGGCAAATTGCATTCCCAGCCAATGAAAACAGGCCTGTAAATTATAGTGAGGAAAAATGAATCTCCCCAAATTGATACAAAAGTCACATAACTTTAGCACAGGATTCGATGCACTGCAAGTTGCACAATGCACATTTTCCTTACACACTCCAGGAGTTCTGGCAGCTGCAGTAGGGCTTAACAAATTAACAATGACCATGAAGGGGGTTGCCTGAGGACTCTCATTTATGCAAATTAATAAAGATGTTCTAGACCAATCATATTTTAAAAAAATAAATAAAACACCCTAGAGTGTATCTCATACTTGGTTGATCTGTGGCTGATTTTCTTCTGAGGACAGTGAGCTAGGACAATCACCTCCTGGCCACCCAGCAGCACTGCCCAGTGGGTGGTCTGCTGGCACCACTGATGGAGATGCTTTTAGTTTGACACTGGGTTGCCCCACCTCCCAATGCCCGCAGCACACAACTCAGGCCAACGCAGAGCAGTTTAGCTACCTGTGAGAAAAGCATGTTGCCCAGTGCAATTGACTATCAAAAACAAGGTGGATGTATACCTTCGGGTGCTTTGTGCTCCATAAAATGAAATTTGAGCCTAATGATAGCCACCGTTCTATCTTCATTTCAGACAGAGCAAAAGAACAAAGGGTCCATGTGCAACTGCAGGTGAACTCGTCCTCTCACTGCATTCTGATCGGTTAACAGCAGCTATGCCCTCCGAGGAACAGCAGTGCTGTGCAAGGTGGAGTCCCTGAACCAACAAGCACATCACTGACGTGGGGTGATTGATAACCACCGGGCGGCAAAGGTTAACCAAAGATGTATCACTGGTGACTGAAAGAGCATTGAGATCACAGAAAGGGAAAATCAGCTCCAAAGCTTGGCATGTCATCAGTTTGAAGACCAAGTTTTGGGAGACCCACCGGGTAAATTAGAAATATATGTGGCACAAGCACATTTAAGGATCTCTTCCTTATGTTTGGTTGACAAGAGCTTGATTATCTGGCCCAGCACGATAGCGTGGTGGTTAAGGTCCTCGCCTTGAACATGCTGGGATTTGTATGGGCACCGGTTTTAATTCCAGCATCTCCATTTCCCATCCATCTCCCTGCTTGTGGCCAGGGGAAGCAGCTGAGGACAGCCCAAAGCCTTGGGACCCTGCATCTGCATGGGAGACCCAGAAAGTAGTTCCTGGCTCCTGGCTTCAGATTGGCTCAGCACCAGCTGTTGCAGTCACTTGGGGAGTGAACCATCTGACGACGATCTTGCTCTCTGTCTCTCCTCCTCTCTGTACATCTGCCTTTCCAACAAAATAAATAAATCCTAAAAAAAAATCCAGCTTCTCTTTCTGTGCCTTCACGAACTCCCATAACTCTTATATTTAGCTTTTTAATAATGTCTCTTAATTCTTGAATCCTTTTTTTGGCTTGACCCAGCTCTGCTTCCAGCTTTTTGATTGTTCACTTATTGTAGCAAGAAATATCTTCCAATTCTGAATTTTTTTCTTTTGCCTCCTTCATTGCATTATTGAGACTTTCCACTGAATTTTTAATTTGCTCTATCGCATCCTTCATTTCCAATAATTCAACTTGATTTTGTTTCAGTGTCACTATTTCCCGTGTGACATAGTCCTTAAATTCCCACATGCACTTCTCATTGTTGATAAGCTTTATAACAAGTGTTTTGAATTCTGATGTATTTCTCAATTAACTCCGAGGCTGGCAAAGGCTCTTACTCCTTTGCAGGGGAGCCTTCAATAATGTTCATTGTGCCTTTGTCTCTTCTTTTGCTCTTTGTCATTGTGCTTCTGCTTAGCAGAGTCTTCTCCTTGGGGCATGTTCTTAAGTTGTGTCACCCACAGGTCTTCTGCAATTTGATTTTACTTATTGTGGTTGGTACACGATTCTTTGTTTGTAGTCACTTGTGTCAGTCCCTCCAGTGAGTTTCAGATCTAGATTTCCACGATGGTTTGCATAGCCCAGATCCTGGCTCAGCACTCTACCGCCTGTTATCCCTTGCTGTCCTTGCACTGTTGTCTGTATGTTTTTCCCACTTCCGGTTCACACAGTTCCCAGGATTGACAAATAGAGGAATGGTAATTAAACTCACAGCTGATCTCTCAAAGGAAATTCTACAGGCCAGAAGAGAATGGAGCAACATATTCTAGATTCTAAAAGCAAAAAACTGTTGCCCCTGGATAATGTACCCAGCAAAACTTTCCTTTCTCTTTGAAAATGAAATCAAATTCTTCCACAGTAAAGAGAAGTTCAAAGAATATGCCTCTTCCAAACATACCCTACAAAGGTTACTTCAAGATGTTCTCTTGACAGAGGAAAGGAATAGCACCCACCCAAACCAAAGGCAAATGTGAAGAACATCTGTTGTAAAATAACAGCAGATGACTAAATCAATGAACAACCCACTGCTAAATGACACAGCAAATTTCCACCTATTTATATTAATCCTGAATGTAAATGGCATAAACTCATTAATCAAATGTCATAGATTAGTAGACTGAATTAAAAACACAAAACTTATCTGTTTATTGTCTACAGGAGAGATATCTCACCAACAAAGACCAGCAGAAACTATAACTCATGGATTTTGATGTTTTTGTTTTTAGTTTTATTTCTTCAAAACACTTTTCATCATTTTCTTCAAGAAGGTTCTTGATTTTCTTTTTCATTTCTTCAGCAACACATTAGTCATTCAGTAGCAGGTTATTTCACTTCACAGCATTGTAAACTTTGTTTTTCTACCTGTTGTTGATTTTCTTGTGGCTTTTCATTTGGTGGGGATTTATAGTGCCTGTGTAGTGGAGACTGATATGTCCAGATGTGAGGATATAGTGTAGTGGATTGAGGATGGACTTCCAGTGAAACTGTTGGATGTGTCTTGACAAGGGGATGCTGGACTCTCTGCCACTGTCCATGCCCACAATGATAAACTTAAGACTATTTATGAGGAACTATGTTGTTATAATGATATGGAAGAACTCAGTGTTGAAGGGCAGGGGGAGGATTTGAGGGTCAGTAAGGGAAATCCCAGGGCCTATGCAACTGTATCATAAAATGATGATAATAATAATAAAAAGAAAAGAAATGTATGTGACAAAGCCATTGAAGTTTGCTTGGTCAGCACAGAAAAGGACGTTATGTGCAGATCTTCTTGAGGTGTGATCACAGGGAAGAATACTACTCATATGACAGGATTATGTGACACTGTCCAATGAATTAGTTCCAAATTCTTATTCACAAGGCAATATACTCTTTTCTTCAAGGTGCAGTGATCTGGTAACACGAATGTTCATGCTTAATGCCATTTCCCATCTGAAGACTCATTCCAAAAGGATGGTTTATTGTCATATGTTTGCTTGAAAGCCTTGTCATTCCTCACCACTGGGAAAACAGCACAGCTTAATGAGCTGAGAACCATTCACAACCTGATATTTCCAATCTGGTTAGGTCCTAACCAAGGAAAGGTGATCAAGAGAACCAGAAAGCTCACCCATTGGAGCTCCTTTTCTACTGTCCCTCATCCCCAATGGACACCTACTGAGCAATGCTTCTGAATCAGGGATTGTCTCAAGGCCTAAGACCATATAATTGGGGACTTCTGCCGTAATCCAAAGACAAATACAGTTGTTTCTGCCACTTTATATCCATCCAGTCAGTATGTTCATAGTTGAGCCCAGCACTGAGCTGGACATTTCATGACATATAACATTGCTAGGATTCATCACCACTCTAGTTACCAGGCCTGACTTCTGCTTGGATTAGGACAAGAATTTTCTAAAAGACATTCATCAAGATACCAGCGCTGGGATAAGATGCTAAGGATAAAGCTCCATGGGCAATGAGGTTTGAAAGATGTCCTGCACTCTTTGTTTCATAGATCTGCAGAGTACATTTTACTTTGTAAGGGTTCTGAGAACACTATATAAAGAAACCTTTGGATATCTGTGCTTCTGCAAATTCCTCAGCTTTTCTCACATTTATTTGACCAGGGAACCTTATTTTTGTGAAATACCACATAGTATTCCAAAAAGTACTTTGTGGAGGGAGCACAGCCTGAGAAGGACCTTGAGGCAGAATGCGTCATGGCTATATCATTGCATCTGGAAGAGTGACATCCTCTCATCTCCTCCATCAGCTTCACAGAGTATGCAGTGCTGTCTAGTTTATCAATCAGATCACCTCACAAGGGACTCGGTCAAAGCAGGCCAGGATCCCATGTTTGAAGGGCACCTGGATGAGTGCCAAACCCAGATTGGTTTTCTAGACTGAGAAAACTGCCAAGTATTGGCATGCCTTTTTGGCCAGGGTTATGCGGATGGAATCCTTGCATCTGCACAGTCACCGTTTTACAGAAAAAGAACATCAGAGCATACGGAGGTTGGAAGAGTTAGCCAAGGTCCAAGAGTCAGTGAACAGTAGAGCTGGACTACGAATGCAGAACCTCTGGGTTCAGGGTCCATGCTCACGACCACCCTGCTCCACCACAGTCACAGAAAAGACAAAGAGCATTTATTGCTACAGTCTGTTTCCCATTCTCTCACACAGCTGTGCTGGCTAGCAGAGTGGCCAAAGGCCAGTTTCTTACCTGCTCTCTGCCTCAGATTCTTGCTGCATCGGATGAGGGTGATGCTAAGACAAACCTCACAGGGTGATTATGGTCGACTAATGAATCATTTAGACAAAGCACTAGAGACAGTGCTTTGTTCACTGCAAGAATTAAGTCATGTTCATTGCAATTACTATTAATTATCATTACCTTGACTGTTTCTATCCAGCGTGGCTGTTTGACCTGATAGTAAACGACGGAGCGATACTCATTCATGGGCTTGTCCCCAGCTCCCACACAAATTGCATTCTGATCCAACAAAAACAAAAAGAGAGAAGGCATTAGAGAGCTGCCATGTTCTATACTCAGATGATTTTGATGCCAAGGCCAAGGACAGTTTTACACTCAGAAACAATCTTTCCTTCATCAGCCTTCTCCGGGTCCCCTATCCTGGCCCCTCTCCCTTTCAAATGCATATATATGAGCCTCCCTACCCCCAGGAATGACAGCTGCTTAATTATAGAAATTGTGTTACTTCCATTCTGGAAAGCACTGGAGCACGCCGAGCGCTGACATGGCTGCCTTATTGTAAGTGCTAACCAGCCTTGGAGTCACTGCACATTGCCAGTCTTGTTAATCCTATTTGTTTGCTAAGTCTGAATGTGTGCAAGGTTTACCAACAGGCTCAGATTATCCAAGCAGCAACACTCCTGATGGATTTCTCATGCTGACACTCCAAGGGAGGGAGGAGGACTTTGCTGAGCAAGGGGAGAAGGCACAGCTCACAATCAGAAATGGAGACACATAAGATGGAGAGGATTGGGAGAAAGGGACCCGTTTGAACCCACAGTAAAGGAGCATCGTGTGGGTACCACGCCTATGCCAGGCCCTTGGGATATGGGAATGAAGCATAGGAGCTCATGGGTTGGTGGACAACCAAACAAGTCATGACAGCAAGGTGATTATGTGACAGACTCAGACACATACCATCGTGGGGGAATAGAGGAGGGATGCTTAGACAATGCAACTGAGCATTTAGGACAAACTGCTCAGAGGTAATGACAGGTGAGGATTTAGAAGGAAGAATCCAAGGTGGCTTTGCACAGAAACGAGGGCAGAGTGTTTGGAGTGGACAGTGAGCCACAGTACACGCAACCCTTGTTGGCAGTTATTTCTCTGTCACAAAATCATGCTTAGGGTTTCAGAAAGGAGCTAGGGAGTGAGGAATTATCTTCTCTTGGCACACATAAGCCTCTAACTGTCTCCCTGTGTTTCTGTTCATTCCAGCAGTTGTAGCCCGCAAGGAAAATCTAAACTAGACTCACTCATAAGGAGCTAACACGTAATTTTTATACCACTGTTACTGATTTTTAACCTCAGTGTCCAAGATCCCTAGCAACATCAGAACTCGTTTCAGAATCCTAGTCCTTGAAACTGGAACATTTTTATAGTGAATAATTCTGTATCTCTCACTAGAGACCACCAGGTTCCCCAATGGAGCCTTAACAACCTCAAACTGCCACAACCCAACTGAGTCACAGAAGGTGGCCACACGTAGGCACTTAAAACCCCTGTTAAGCTAGGCTAACAGTAGGGAAGGGAGACCTTGCCCCACTCATGGGAAAGTCCCCTTTAGTTTCAAGGTCTAGGAAAAGGATGAGGTCAGCTTCAACACGGACTGATGGCACTCATGGTCACATTAAACCATTTGAAAATAGAGTGGGTCCTTTCAGAATTTATCATTACAAAAAAAAAAAAGATGGATAACTGGTAAACTGGCAAGGGGGGAAGACCCACTGCTCTCCTGGTTTTCTGTGGGAGGAAAATCACAGAGCTTCTTGAAGCACTGAACCAAAAACATGCTGTCAAAGTGACTAGTGAGTTAGAGACAATTTGGAGTCCTGCATCAGGCCAAGCCCTCTACGCCATACCCCATCACTATCTTCCATTCTCACTACCACCTTCAATAATTATTGTCATTATTTTGATTTCATAGCTTGGTAAACTGAAGTTCCAAAGGTAGAAGCTATTTCCCCAAAAGAGACTGACGCCCTCTAACTCCTTATCCAGTCCTGTTCTGTTCCAGTCTAGATGCCTTCCAAGCTATGAGGATTTATAGCCACTGACATGTACAACCTTAGAGTTTCTGTTCCTTCAGTGAATCCCATGTAGCTTATAAAAACTGAAAATACACATAGATCTCCGGTGAAAGGGAAATTGCAAGGCAGCAGGCAACTGAGCCTCACCAGAGTATCCTGATGATGAAAATGTTTGATTTCCTAAGAGTGGAGCAAAAAGTCTCTACCCTTCTGGAGGAGGTCTGCAGAGTGCCCTCACCCCCACACATCAGAGACACAATGCAGCAAAGCGTGTCCCAAGGGCACTGTGGCCGGAGGACCAAGACCATGGCCTGAGCCCAACTGGGAGCAAAACTTAGTTCCCTCTATGCATTTAACAAGACTGTTCAATAATTTTTCAAATGACTCATGGGTCCCTGGTGGAGGTCAGTTACTCTGGGCTGCTTGGATAAAATCTGAGCAAGAATCAGGAGGCCTGAAGGCTTTGGAGGCTCACTTGACCTTGGAAAGGACACCTCAGCAGAAGGAATCATGAGGCTCCTGTTACACATCCTATTCAGTTTGTAGGTACCACAGGAAGAGTGCAGAGGCATCAGAGATGTGAAAATAAGAAAAAGAATGTACGACACCAACAAAGCCAGCCCACGGCAAGATGCCAATCTGTATGCCTAAGGCGGGGATCAGGCCTGGGGCTCCTTACGCTTTTCTAATGATAGTGGCTTTTTGGAAGGAATACTTTCTTATGCACACTATCCTATCTGATATAAGAGCTGTTACCTGGCTGGTCCCATTTGCAGACAAACACTCTCCAGCCTATAGAAGCTGTGTAACGGGCTCAAGGTTGTTTTGCTAATCTGAATTGGGCTGGTTTTTGATGTGGCTGCCTGAATTCAGAGAGATTATGCATGATTGTAACCACTTAGGCCACACTGTCCCATCCCTGCCTCCACTGTCCCACACTGGCCCCAGAAGAGCAGCGCTTTCCTGGTCCATAACGCAAGACGTCTTACTTCTTCAGAAACTTGCTGCAGGTTTCAGCACCTGACTTACTCAGTCTCTCCAAGGGCTTCCTTCCTTCTTCCCCTCTTCCTTCTCTTTCCCACTAAACTCTCCTAACTGGTCTAGCTCAACCAAAGGCAGCATGCACCTGGAGCAGCAGGAAAAACCAACACTCCTGGAGAGGACTGTTCCCATAGGAACCCACCCATAGCAGACAGAAGTAGTTGAGTGTGCTGCCTGACACTTAATTAGGCAGTGGTGTTTACTTCTGCAAAGAGAGAAAGAAAAACCTCCCACAGGTTCCCCTAGCAATTTTCAATACTCAGTCAAGTGCACTCCCCCATAACTTTCCTAATAGATGAAATTGCAAATTATCACCACGCCCCATGTTTCTTTTCCTTTCAGACTCCAGAATATCTGCTCCTTCATTCATCCCTGACAAATTCATGGATTGGCCTTGTACGTTGTGACTTGACAGAGAGCCAGAGGACATGATATGAGGCCTGATGTCTGCTCACCTGTTAACTCTTCCTCCTCATTTGCCCCTTGCATTGAGACATGCGTCAATGTCTTAAAAATGAACCTCAGGTTAACAAGTTCTCCAACAGAGAGCCATATAAAAATAACTTCAAACTTCTTTTTGGATTAAAAAAAAAATCCTCTTCTCTTCTGTGTTCTTTTGAGCAAAGTGTGCCTCATTTTAGTTTTCAGAAAAGCTTCAGAAGCCGATAAAGAAACATGCATTAAACCCTGAGAGTTGGCTCAATTAGATATGAGTTAACATGGCAGGTCTCTATGAGCAAAGGCAATTATGGGGATTTCTTTATATTTAAAAATAATAACGAATCTTTCCAGAATTTGAAGGAAGTATCTGTAACAGTCTCATTTTCAAAATTAAAAAAAAAAAATCAGAGACTTTTTTTAAAGGCACAGACATGACAGTGAAATGTTTAAGAAGGCACCCTATTGGTGCCATCTACTCCACTATAACCTTGGATAAGCTCTTCTACTTGAAAAAAGTTTCATTTCCACACTTGTGAAATGAGAGATAATTAAAAAAATACAACCTAACACAACACTACAAAAAGTTTACGGAAAATGGAATTTTGAAATTTATTTTGGTGCAAGGAAAGCTAAACAACCATGCATACAAAGGATCTTCAAAGAGTTCACAAAAATGCTCATCACAGAAAAGCTATGCTAGATATTAAATCTTTCTGCATAAAAATAAGCTCATCATATGACTCCAACTTTTCACAAACTTTCTTTTAAAGATTTATTTATTTTTAAAAAGGAAGAGTTACAGCGACGGGGGCTGGGGGGGATAGAGAGAGAGAGAAAGAGAGAGAGACAGACAGATGTATCTTTTTTGTTTTTTGTTTACTTGACCAGGTTTGGACCAGGAAGCAGCCAGGAGCCAGGAACTCCACTGCGGTCTCTGTGTGGGTGCCAGTGACCCAAGTATTTGGGTCATCAGCCACTCTTTTTTTCCAGGCACATTAGCAGGGAGCTGGATCAGAAGTGGAGCACCAGGGATTCGAATTGACCCTCGGATGGGATGCCAGCATCCCAAGCAGCTGCTCAACCCACTGTTCCACCACGACAGCTCCTCCATGAGCTTTCTGAAGTCCACGTATGCTGACAACACTTGGCATATAATAATTCTCTTACGCTCATTCTTCTTAGCCAGAGAATAGCAATATCACCTGGAGCTGCAGGCCCCAGGATTAATGCTGATGATTTCTCAAACTTTCCCCACAACCCCATGGTGGACACCTCCACCCTATCTTGCTCTCTGATCACTAAAGCAGCCTAGAGGACTGCTGGCTGGCCCACACTGAAACTTCTGAGAGTCGATTTTATGTTCACCTAAATACTCCAAACAGAAAAATTGAGAAGCAAAAGCCTCCCACACGCTGGACACAGCTGCTAACAGTCAAAAAGGAAAAATAAGTAAAAAGTGTACACATACACATGACAAATTCTGTCCAGGACATATGTTGGATAAATACAGCAGTGTGCTTTGCATTCCTGAATACACTCTGTTAGCCCTCTGGAGGCCAATTTACAAGTGAGGCTTTCCGCTCAAATTTCTGGCTGAGCGCTGGGGAGTTAGATTAAGTGCTGAGAATGTCTGCTTTGAGGACATCCTGAGCCTCCACACCAGCTCGAGGCTCTGCATTGATCCTCTTTCTTACCATGGATTTTGCCTGCATAAACCAGCTCAAGTTTCAATGAGAACAACATGTCGAACGTAAAAAGCCAACCTACAAAACTAAAGCCAAGCAAAAATCAGAAGGGAAGGAGGAGGAGAGAAAAAAAAAGAGGAGGAGAAGGACGGATCACGAAAGGAAAGGGAATAGACACAAAAAAGCTGCTTGAATGCAAAAACAACACATGGGCTTATTATGGGACACTGCGCTACCCAGGCTCCGGAGGTGTGGATCATATTACTCAGCACCATCCCAGAGGTAACTGGCACTTAGAGCAAGACTGGGGAGAGGAAGAGCCAATCTTTATGAGCAGCAGTCCCTCCCGGGGGGAGCCCTGTCACCCGGAGCACAGCCGAGTCCCTTACAGGCAGCGTTTTGCCATCTTCTGCGCACACACACATGATCACTTCCACATTCCTCTGCGTGGTCTTGTTGTACTTGTCAAAGTCACCTTGTAAGAGTGTGATGTAGATGTCGTTCCTGACATCCCCTGAGGCAAAAGGAGAGAGGAGACACGAGTTACAGTCAGCCGCAGCGAGAGAGACACTGACTAACTGGAGGGGATGGAGGTGGGAGGAAGTGCTATTAATGACATTAAAACCAGGATTGCTCTGGAAAAGTATTTCTACCTCATTGGGGACCCTGCAGAAGTAAGCTAATGAGGGGATGAAGGAATGCTAGGAAGTCAGGTCCAGCCAGGCAGCTAGGGTGGTCACGTTGGCCATGTCTCCTGCTATACTAATATCATCTCATCTCCATCCTCTACTGACACCTTCTGGGAAAGCAAAGGAAAGCTCCGATTGGATTGATCTGGCTGGGCCCATGAACAAACAAGGCGACTTGTCCATTCAACACATCTTATACTGCACAGAAGCAGGAGAAGGGAACTGTCTGTGTGCCCCAGGCGCATGGGGCTAGAATGAGGTGCAGGGGACCTGAAGGAAGGGAGGCAGCACGAATAGGAAAGTCCACAAAGGAATGGAAGTCTCAAGTGAAACAGGTGCAGTAAGTTACAACAGAATCCCATGGGACCCGTGACAATCACGGACAGAAAGGCTAAGTCGGCGGAACTGATTGTGGATGCCAATCCAAGAGTAAGATCTAAGGCAAAAAGAGCAGTTTCAAAGGATCATTACACAATCCCACTTGTTGGGAAAAAATATTGATAGTGGTGGTTACTCCTGGAGAGAAAACACTGAGCAAGCTATTAACATGTTACTTTATACCTTTTTGTGCGATTTGAATATTTCACAATGATTGTGTATTCCCTTGGTTATAAAAAAAAGAGTTTAAAAATTTAAGAGAATGATTACATTCCCTCAGGAAAATGGAATTGCTCTGCATGCAGTAAAATAGAAATGATGTCCATGATAAATTATTGAGTGATAAAGCAAGCTGCAGAAAACCCATATAAAGCAATACTAGTAAGGGTAGGTAAAATGTGATCCTATTATTGAGTCAAGAAATTATAGGTGTGCTTATTTATGCGTGTTTATTTTTGTGAGTGCATAGGAAATTTTCAAAGCACAAACATTGTTTTAGGTAGTTATCTTTAGGAAGAAAAACACAGAGAGAAATAAGAAAAGACGGTTGTCATTCTTTAAGAAGGCAATGGGTTGCACGGGCTGGACCTTTCTCTCTGGACCCTGTCCCGGGGAACGGAAGGTCAGAACCACCGCACCTCACCTGGCATGATGATCTCAGGGAAGCCCAGCTTCCTGGCCACCACAGTGGTCCTGTCCACCAGGTGGGGATAATCTTTGCGAATCTGAATGATGTCACCCACGAGCATCTTCATGGTCACCCAGAGCCCTGAAAGGGAACAGTCGTGCTGAACACTCAGCTTCTTCAAGGTGTGCTGAATCTATCTTCTCTCCCCTCATCTCTTTCTGGAGACATAAAACCAGAAATCCAGTAATCCAGCCCAGAACTCTGGAGTGAGACGTCCATCTACTTCTAGAGGTGTTGCCCTCTGACAAAATACCCCGCCTCTCTCAACCCCAATTTCTTAACTTGGGGATGACATCATCTTTGTCTCAGGACTGGGGAAACCATGAGACCAGAAAGCATAAACTGACTAAAGAAAGAGCCTGCCATTGAGAAGACCTTCAAATCTATTCTTTCTTCGTTGGCTACTAGCAGACTCCAGCATGTCACCTTGGAAGCTGAGGTTTCCATCTTGAGAGTCACGTGCTCTCAGTCTTCCCAGGGATTTGCCTGCAAGCAAGGCCATGGTTCCCAGGATTCAGAATTTCAGTCCTATTTCAATCCTGAGTCAGAGGTGCCAGAGCCCCCCATGCTGTCTGTTTATACTGTACCTTGCCCTCCGCTGTCACCTTTGGAGGCTGTGACTTTGCCCAGCATACTGTGAAGGAAGTCGTTCTCAGCTGTGACCCTGGAAAGCAAAGGACAGCACAAAATATAGACAACTGTATCTTCATGGAGGCCCCACATGATGGCCTGAGCTGCTACAAAATATTCTCACCTCCTTTGTTCTCTCTGGATGTTAGCTCAGAGAACACGCAGGCCACGAGGACACATGGCTCTGAAAGCTGAGAATACCAGCCGTACAGTAGAGACCATTTTTCACTCCCAGTCCTCATCATGAATATTCGCCCAGCAAAGTGGCAAAGACTTTAGTCCTTGCTATTGGGTCTTAACCACCTGCCAAACCACAGATGCTAGCTTTATGACTCGGATCCTCCTTGGGGGTTATTAAATATCAGCAATGCTCTGGCTGAGGGTTCGGTGAGGGCTCTCCAAAATTCATTCTCCAATACTCATCTTAGTGCAAAGGACATTAACCTTTTTGACTGTCCTGACATGAAAACCAGCCTAGGATTTCCTATAAGAGGCTGCCAATCTCCTTATGTACCTTCATGGTTCCATGGCACCTATCATACACATAATGAATGCTGCATTTGTTGGTTATCTGCTTAACTCCACATCTAAAACACAAGTCCCACACAGACAGGACTGTGCTAATGTTGCTCACAATACCCTCCATGAGCAGCACACAGTGCTAGCCCACTGCCAGGTCTCAACAAAAGCAAATCTGATGAATCAATAACATCTGATGGATGAGCGGGTGAAACACTGATTGGTTTCCAGCACCTTGACACCGAGGCCATCATTCTCACCCTACTCCTCCTCTTGGGAGGCTCAACTGCCTGTCATTAGCTCAGGAAAACAGCTCCCTCTGCACTCCACTCAAACGGCCCTCTAAGAAAATGGGTGTGGTTGAAGACAATGCCAAAAAAAAAAAAAAGGAAATGTCTTACGGGTGAAAGGGTATGAAGTGCTGCTTTTCCTCATCGCTCTCTGCTTTCCCCTTGATGATGTCTGTTATATCCATAACTAGAAAGAGAAGAGAAATGAATGCATAGTTTAACTTCCCCCGTCACTCTCAGGCAAAGAATGACAACGAGAAGAGATGGTAAGGCAGGGCATGGAAGTCAGAGGTTCAGCAAATCCTTAAAAGACAAGCAAGTCAGCCAGCGTGGAACAATATACAGGTAACCTTAGTTCTTAAGCATGAAGCACCTGGGGAAACAGCTCTGGACACAGTAGGTTGGGAGGCCAGCAGGACAGCGACGTGTCCGAGAGCCCTGTGGTTTAGTAGAGAATGAAAGGGAAGAGAGCAGTGGCTATGAATTAACCATCAGTCTCAGTTCTGATGCGTCTATCCTGAATGTCTATTGTGCCTTCAAAACTCAAGGGCAGCAACTTCCAGTAGGATCTGAGACGCTAAAGGCAGCTCTCCAGCCACTTACTACAGATGTGCTCCTAGGCAAGGCACTGGCAGTAGGATCCTTGGGCTCTGCTCTGATATGAAATGCCAGCATCACGGGTGATGCCACACCTGCCGTACCCCAACCACAACCTCTGTAAGTTATATTTTAATAACAAAATATACAACTGACATATCAAATTGTGATGTTCACGGGCATTCAAATTATCTTTCAGGAAAGCTACGCACTAGTTTAAGTAGGTATATTCACAGAAAATGTACATAGAAAGGAATACACAGGTGATAGTTAAGCTTTGGAAACGTAACAGAACAAGAGCTTAGAGGGAATGCGGAGCTGGTGCTGTTCTACTGTAGCCTCTTGCTTGGGTCAGACCTACTCTCCAAATGTCCCTTTCCATCCGGAATTGAGCTGTGTGGTGGGTGACTCATGCTGAGTAACTGCATTTCCTGTCCTGGAGATTGTTTTTAAACCGATTTGCTCCTCATAATGAGATCTTGCCTGTATTCGCCTGCCTTTTCCACTGTGCTGGGCAGCAAAGGCGCCAATGGCTCAGACAGTACCACGCTCCCACTGCTCTGCTCCAGACACACAGATGGCATCACTCATGGCACTTGTCACAAACTTGCCCTGCCTCACCAATTCTCTCTATCAGCCACCAGACGCATGGTTACGAAGGGCTGTCTGGAAGACATTTTTCAGGGGTGGGGACGGCGATCAGGAGCAGAGAGAGACACTCTTCAGAAACCAGCCATATATATACTGTGCACATACCTGCCACTCCAAATGGTCTCCTCAGGCCCTGAGTACACTTCTTCGTATTGGTGTCCTTAAGATCCATCTTCCCAACGCGCACTATTTGACAAATCAGGTAAATTTTATCCCTGTTGAGGTCTTTGTTTCCAAGATCCTGTAGGGTAGGAAACCAATGGTTACATACCACATGGTGAATGCCAAAGGGAAAAGAAAGCTTAGTAATTATTTCTGAGGATGGCACTTCACACTTGGCATACATGGAGCCACCACACAATGAATCCTGAAAAAGATAGACAGCAAAACTGTTTCACCCATGACCCAGGTGTGAAAAGCAAGGATTGGAAAGAATATTGAGTGATGGGAGCAAAGTGTTCAATCCCAGCTCTTCCACTTCAAACTGCTAAAGGAGAAGGCAGCAATTGCATCAGTTTGTACAGCATTTCCTGTAATGCAAAGTAATGGATCCAAAAACAGTATTTGCTACAAATGACCCTGTGGGTCTCATCATTGCTCAGCACCTCTGAGACAAAAAGCCAAAGGAGGAGGGCAAAATAATCACAGAGACCTGGGCACTTCAGGTGTGTGTGTCAGGAAAGCGCAGGTACTACCAAAATACCCCCATGTGTCAGAACTGACAACACAGCAGAAGTCTGCATCTAGTGCCAGCTATACTTGTAACGCAAATAGGTAGGAGATCTGCTCAGTTGCTTTGACTGGACCCTCGACTGGCACATCTTTCTTGATTCAGATGCAACCACTATCCCCAAGCCAGGGAAAGGGAATGCGACAAATCACTTACTAGCTCTTAAAGCTTCTTCCCAGAAGGGACCCATTCCAAGGTGAAGGAACTTCTCCAACTAACACAAGGAAGCTGAAAATCACATTTTTTGCATTGAGAAGGGGGAACTTTGAACTGCTGGCTTGCATTAAGGCACAGAAGTCACCATCTTATTTGAAGCTTAGCAACTCCCTAAAGTTATTGCATGATTATCGGACTCTCACTTTAACAGTGGACAGAGACACAAAGAAAATAAGCGGCTTCACTAAAGCCATAGCGGTGGGTCTTGGGGACACTGGACTTTTGATGCCAAAAGCAAGTCTATGACAACATAACTCCCTCCCCACCAGAAAGTCTCTCAGGAGGGGACACAATACTGGACACCTCAACATTTGATTGCTTCGCTCAAACCTAAAATCCTCAGTGGTCTTGGAGGCCTGTGGCATCTTGGATCGGGTTGGGGAAGGAACAACAAGGCTTGTTGTTGGCCTCAGTGTAAAAAACTGTGGACCTGCCCTTGTGGGGCCCAAAGACCAGTATCTCCAAGGACAAATGTCATGTTCTTGAGGGGCCATTCCTAGTTCCTACAGTAGCTAGTGTAGGAGGAACTCAGCAGGAAGTACAGAGTCTCTGGGAACCAAGACTCAGTGTGGTTCATATCTACCTAATTGGGGCAGTGACGGTTAAATTTCGCATTAACTTGAATATCCCATAATATCAAGTTGATTGGTCAAACACTCACCTAGGTATTGCCATGAAGGTATTTGGTAGACTTGCTTAAATGCACAATTGGTTGCCTTTAAGGAGAGAAAGTTATCTTCCACAAAGTTAAATTTGCACAATCAGTTCAAAGCTTTATGAGCAAAAACCAGAACCTCCACAAGAAAGAATTCTGCTCACAACTGTGGCATAACAATCCTGCACGAGTTCCCAACCCTACAGATTCCAAACACACACATGGTGTTTCAATTTCTCTGGAAAGATCTGACTGTTACAAACCTGTCTCTGCCCCAGTGGAATAAATGGGTGCCTTCTTTAGTCTCTCGGGTATCACTGCTGTGCAGGGACAGAGGCAAGCAGGGGAGCTTTTAAGACAAGAAAGCTCTCCACTCATCTGAAACTCCAGCTTGATCAAAGGCATTTGGGTTTGAGACCTAATGATCCAGGGGTTGGAACAGTCCTCTCGGCCCGCCTGGATCCTTCCTCCAATCCATCCTGAAATCTTCCTGCGACTCATCTGTAGACGCTGCATTGATTACTTCATCTCCCCCGCTCAACCCAGTAACATTAATAGTTCCCTATTTCCTGCCCTATTAGTTGCTAATCTTTCCTCAGTGACATGAAAGGGCCTAGATATAACACATCCATCTATCCTAGCCAACTGATTCACTACCCTGTGACTGCAAGTCCTCTATTTTTGTCAAAGACTTTCTTTGTTGCTCTACAAGCACATGATGTTCACTTTTAACTTAGGATCTTTCTTCCTAATCACTCCCCTCTAACACGCTTACCTCTATTCATATATATCCAAGTCATATCTATGCTTAAAATCTTTAAAAGTCATTTTTTTATTGGAAAGACAGATTTACAGAGAAGAGCAGAGACAGAGAGAAAGACGCTCCATCTGCTGGTCCACTCCCTAAATGGGCATAACAGCCAGAACTGAGCCAATCCAAAGCCAGGAGCTTCCTCCAGGTCTCCCACACAGGTGCAGGGGCTCAAGGCTTTGAATCATCCTCCACTGCTTTCCCAGGCCACAAAGAGAGAGCTGGATGGGAAGTGGAGCAGCCAGGATACAAGCTAGCACCTACAGGGAATCCTGGTGCTTTGCAAGGAAAGGATTAGCCAATTAAGCCATCATGCCAGGCCCTCTGCGCTTAAAAAACTTTTCCAAAATTTACTTATTTTTATTGGAAAGACAGATTTACAAAGAGAAAGAGAGACAAAGATCTTTCATCTGCTGGTTCACTCCCCAAATGACCACAAAGGCCAAAGGTGAGCCCATTTGAAGTCAGGAGGCAGGAACCTCTTCCGGGTCTCTTACATAAGTATAGGATCCCAAGGCTTTGGCCATCCTCTGCTGTTTTTCTAGGCCACAAGCAGAGGCTTAAATGAGTAATGGAGCAGCCAGGACGTGCACCACAAACCAGCACCCATATGGGATGTCTGAGCTTATAGGCAGAGGATTAACCATTGAACCAATGGGCCAGCCCCACACACTTAAAAATTAAAGTGCTACTTATTTTATAATTATTTCCAGCCCTAATTACTCCTGCCCTTCTGTATTTATTTTAATTGCCTAAAATGGTATTTTTCATACACAAGGGGTCCTTGGTATCCAAAGGGTTCCCAGTGCCCACAAAATTTGCATGTTGAGGTACTCATCTCAAGAGCCTCAGAATATGACTGTGTTTGAAGTGATCAGTAGAAAAGAGGTCATTATTGTGGACCACTGTGACTGATATCCTTACAAGAAGGAGTCAAGAGGCAGCATTGTGGTTCAGCAGGTTAAGCTGCGGCAGGCCATGTCAGCATCCGATATCAGAGAGCTAGTTCAAGCCCTGGCTTGTCTGATGATGTGCTGGGAGGCCAGCAGATGATGTCCCAAGTTTGTACCTCTTCCACCCTTATGGGAGAGCCAGGCAGCATCCCTAGCTCCTGGCTTGAGACTGACCCAGCTCCTAATCACTGTGGTCATCTGGAAAGTAAACTGGCAAGTACAAGATCTGTGTTTCTGTATCTCCCTCTCTTTCTGCCACTCTGCCTTTCTTATAAAATAAACATACATTTTTAAACAGAAGGAGCCTACAGTAAGACACAAACATATACAGACGACCACATGAAGACACCTACAAATCAAGGAAAAAGACCCAGAAAAACTAGCCCTGCTGGTACCTTGACCTTGACCATATTTCTAGCTTCCAGAATTGTTAGAAAATAAACATCTATGGTTCAAGACAACCCATCTGAGATCAGTTACAACACACCTAGCAAACTAATACACCAGCTGGGTTGCTGGATAAAACCCGATTAGCCTCTCCTCTCTGAAAAGATGTCACTTGCTCAAGATACAGGATCTTCAAGAGCAGCCTCCATCAAGAACCCCTCAGGCAACAGAGGCTCTTCAAACATTATGTAAGCTCTGGTAAAAAGCGTAGAGTGTGTAATGGGAAATCTTGACTCACAACTGGGCTCCAACTCTTGTGTCTCTCAGTACTGTCAACTTAGGCCTTATAAAACTCAAACATGTGGGGCGATGCTTCCAACAGGCACCACATGATTCAGCAACACATTATTCCTCCTTTTACTGTGCACTTTTGTTTCCTGTGTGTTATCAGCAACAGCCAAACTTGGCTAAGCCTTAGGGAATCTCATGGTATATAATCTGCTTTTTCTCTTCCAGCACCAAGGAGGGTGAATGCCTATGAAATGGAAAGTCAACATTCAGACAGAAACACGTGCTGGCTCCACAGGCTCAAGGAGCTGGGAGCTTGCTCCACCTTCCCCCCCACCCCACACCCCGCCTCCCCCCCCCCAAAAAAAAGACAACTAGAAAGAGCTAACATCCAAACAGAAGAGATTTAAGGCTGGCAAGGCATTGCCTGCCAAGTCTTATCTCATCTCCAACTTAAACATGACCTCGACACTCCGTTGAAAGTAACTTACAGTCAAATACCATCACATCACCCTGCTTGAATTATCTGCCCTGCTTGGATGGCTTTCTGACATTGCTCTTTCGTGTGTGTTCAATTGTTTACCATCTCAATCCCCCTGAACCAGGGTAGGGATCTCATCAACCGTTCCATTCCCCAGCCCCTAACCCAGAGGTAACACATTAGCAGGTACTCCTCCTGACTGATAGCTCTTGAGTCGACAAAAGAAGGGAGGGCAGCATAACCATCCTGGCCATGAATGAGAACTCGGACCATCACAATAGATAAAACGCCTGAACCCAGTGAAGGGATAGGCCAAGGTTCTGAGCCCACCTGGTCGGAGAAGTGGAAGTATGGCATAGGCAGAATTCCACAAAGGCAGGATCGCGCATTCTCATTAATACTGCACGACACAGACTTACCGACGACCTTTCCTTCATGTCTACATCCTCAGTTGTTTCTCTGCAAAATAAACCACTGATTGATTCCCTGTCCTGCTTCCTCTCATGAAACATCTGTCTTGCAGTTTAATCGGGAAGCCCCGTGGGACTCTCTTATACATCAAGAAAATAAATAGGCTCCTCCTTCCAACTAATAATAGATAAACAGGATTGAGGCACATTTATATATGCCAAAGAAGACTCTGTCTAAGCAATTAGGACCTATGATCCTGTGCCATGCCTCTGGCCCATTTTTCAGGAAATAACAAACAAAATAAATCAGGTACACTGCAATCTAATCACCATGTAACATAAGACATGATACTTAATGGGCTGTAACAGGCAAATTATTGTAGAGCAAGGTAGGTTAATCTAGCATGTCGGTCATTCCCGGATTCAACTCATCAATCTGGTGAAGGCCCAAATCTCTCCCTCTTTTCTCTTCCATAATTTACCTTGCTAATACGGCCAATGCAGTGTGGAAAACAAAATCTCACACATGATCTTCTGGCCTAAGGAACTTGCAGACAACACCAATCGTTTTGGTTGTTTTAAGATGACACTCTTGACACGTTTAGTGGAAGCAGGCAAGAGAGAGGGAACTTTGCCGAAAATTATAATCCTGATTTCTTTCCTACTTTCTGCTGTTTCCCTTACTCACAGAGTAAAAGGCCAAGCTCACTCTCAGAAATAAATCATCCAAATAGCAACTGATTGCAGCACCTCTACATGTAAGTCCTGCCTTGCAAATATTGGTATTTCAAAGAGGGACACTAAGGAATCACCAGATTTTTCATCTGTGACTTAATCTTCAGAACATCCAGTGTACCAAGGAGGTCCATGTTCTAAGATCATATTTTTTTTCCTTAAAGATTTATTTATTTGCAAAGCAGAGCATCAGAGCTAGAGTTGAGAAAAGAGACAAAGATCAAAGACCTTTCATTTACTGGTTCACATCCCAAACAGCTGCAATGGCCAGGACTCTGCAGCTCAAAGTCAGGAGTCAGGAACTTCACCACGTTCTCCACACGGGCAGTTTCATGCACTTGGCTTGTCACCCACTGCCTTTCCAGGTGCATTAGTGGACAGCTGCATTTCAAGCACAGGAACTAGGACTCCAACTGATGCTCCAACATGCATGCTGGTGTCACAGTGGTGGCTGAAGCCGCGAAACCTATTTGGCCTCAGTGCAGTTTTTTTTTGGTTTGGGTGGTTTTTGGTTTTCGATTTCCTGATACATTTTAGAAATGTTTTACAGAAAGACTGAACTAAGGAAAAGAACTCAGGTTAACTGAGAATTGACAAGATCAAAAGCCCTACTGTGCCCATTTCACCTAGGCTTTATTGCTCAAAGAGGTTTGTGCTTATTAATATTGCATCCTGCTGAAAGACTGGAGAGGAGAACAACAGGGGGGAGAAGGAAACCCCAATGCCTATTAAACTGTTATAAAATGAATGATTTTTTAAAAATACAGTGAGGGGAAGGAGAAGGGCAGGGTGACTTAATCACATTTGCAATCTGGAAGATTTATAGAAGAGATCAAATGAGTACATCAGTGAAGGCAAGGGGTCAGCTACGACTCTCATCGTAATGGTCTACATGGGGGATAATGATTACTAAGACTGGGGAGGTGACAATGGTAATGGAAAGAAATTAATAAATGTAAGCAACTTATACATAGAACTTGATGATAATTCAAATTTGGTGAGAATGGGAAAGAAGGAAGGAGACATCAAATATATCTTATATTTTTAGGACAAACAAAATTTCGACCCCTTAGTCTCCTCGATTTATATTGCTCCATTTATCAGCTCCTTTTCACTAACACATAAAAAAACTCCCTGCAAGAGATGAAGATAGAAGGTGGGGGACTGAGTTCTAGAAAAAGCATCATGAAGGAAACTTTTAGAGTGATAAAAAAGTTTAATATCTTGACTGGTTAATAGTTCTATCAGTATATTATTTGTTGAGATTCACCATTAGGCATTTAAAATCTACGAACTATATTATATGTCAGTTATATTCAATTTTAAATAAGCATTTAAACAACATTAATTGGGCAGTACAGTCTTTAAGATGGGGATAATAGTATTTCTATTTTATGTGGTTAAGTCTAAAGCAGACAACATACAAAGCACTTAAAATAGTGCCTATCAAAAGTAAACAATGTTAGCTATCATAGTCATTATACCATCCCTCTGTTTAAAATCTCCCAGTGACGCAAGTAATAAAATCTAAACTCAAAAAAAAATTTTTTTACACCCTACATGTATAGGAGAGGTATAGGAGAGAGGAGGAGATATGGAAGGAGCAACAAAGAGAGAAGGCTTATTCTCCCCAAAGCATTCTCAAAGGACACTAGGTCTTTGCCAACTTGGAATGTCTACATGAAACCCAGACCCCAGCTGTGCACATAGCTACACTCCATCCTGACCACCAGACCAGCCTCATCTTCAAGGTCATGTCCCTGGGAGTGTGGCCCGTGGTGCTGAGCAGAGACAGACACTCACCGTGAAAACCACCTTCAGGTTGTTGAGCATCTCGATCTCCTTCGGGAAGCCCCTGCTGCCCCATCGCACCAGGTAGTTCTCACTGCGGGAAGAAGAGTGATGGTGATTACTGCGGCCTTGACATTCATCCCTGGGCATCTACTGTGTGCCAGACAGACGCCATACTGGCTACTGGGGACACAGCAATGTTTGAGATAGTCCTGGTCCTGCCCTACTAGAGAACACAGTCATGCCTGAAGACAGTCGTTAGACTAGCAGGCACAAAGATGGATGGGTCCTTGGCTGCTCCAAACCTGCTCCCACCCCAGCTGCTGACCAATTCTTGCTTAAATTTTTTTGAGAGTAGCTGCAAGCTCTGTAGAGCTATAAAGAATGGCAGAAATGACAAGGAAAGATTAGTATGTCTTGCCAAACAGAAAATAGGAGGCATAGGTATGCATGCAATGTGTACAAAGTGGATAAGATGAAACGTTGAAAATTGTTCAATCTTAAACTAAAACATACTTCTAGGAGCACATATACCCCATATGTATGTACCATCCTTGTGAAATTTTTTTAAACAGGGAAAAAATAGCTTGGCTCTTCCATACTACTCTCCTTTAGAGAACTTGAGCTTTGGACTATTTTAAGTTACCCTTATTTTAAGTTACCCCTTGAATATCACACTGTGATATTTATTCACACTGTAAATGTCACACTGTGGTGGATCTAATAGGGCCTTAGTCATTCTTTGAGATACACTTGTGACAACTTTTGGTAAGAAACTGTGCTGGAGGAAATGTTCAGGATGCCTTGAGATGCATGTCCCAAGGGGCTGGCCCAGGCTGGGTGGTCAGGACTAATTCCTTGAAGGAAATGAGGGGTAATAAAATTGACAGCCGGAAAGGGAAACATTTCAGGCAAAATTGACACATGTTCAGGGACCACAGGAAGGAGCCTGATGCATCTAAAAAACAGAATACTTAGAGGCAGGCAGATCATGCAGGCTTGGTCGTCTTTTCTAGTATCTTAACTTCCTCACAGAGGCAAGGAACAGTTTTATGAGCGAACAGTGACAAAGTGAGTCCCTTTGTCCAGGATCCACTGAGGCTGAGGGTCCATCACGTCTCCTAGAAACCATACACTGTACATACACTACTATGCATATGAACACATACATTCTCCCCTAGCCAGGAAAGTCCAGCACTTATTCAACTCAGCACACTTTGCTGAGCTTACTCATTAGGTTTTCCATGACACCCAGGAATGTATTTGGGGAGATTTTAAAAAAAGCAATGTAGGACTGAAAAGCTAAGTCAGTACAAGAAGGTGGGACAATGAAATTGAGCAAAGGAGAATGGCCTTCTTAGAGTTTTATTCTCTGTCCCCTCACCGTACAAGCCACTTGACAGCCATCTGAGTAAAGTTCAAGGGAAACAGAACTGAGGGCAAACAGGAAGCAAAGCTTCAGATCAATCAACCCACAGTTAGAATTCAATCAAATTAAACCCATCACTTTATCTCTAGGTCCTAAGTTTTTAAAATTATTAATAGAATTCAAAACAAACTGATCAGGAAGTCTACATTTGAAGACAAAATTTCCCCTTGGTTAGTTTTGGGCTGCTTCCAGTGCAATGCCTGCATAGTTTCCAGCAGCTTCCATTACATGTACCAAGCCCCTCAGTGGCCATGCTAGCTTTGTCTCAACAGCAGGGACTGGCAATTTTCTCCTAGAAGAAATATAATCATAACTAAGAGAAGCAATTCCAAGGTCTGAGCTGGGCCCATCCATCCTTGCACAGGAAGGCCTGGTGTTGGACAATCTGAAGGATCGTAGCCCCCTCAGATGGAAGGGGAAGTCCTAAATGACAGCCTCACTAGAGGAAGGGGAGGAGGGCTCCAACTCCTCCCTGAGATCTGGCCTGACAGAGGCCTTACCAAAGGGCCTGATGCCTGAGCTGATGATCTGAGCACAATTCAGCTCAACATCAAGAGCTTGGACCCAGCCACACATTCGCCAGCAGATGCTTCCACCTGCCTGCTGTTCACTGTACATCAACTCTAGCTAGGGCAGACAGGTGCAAAGGTTTCTTTCTTAGAAAAAGAGAAGGGTTCCAGACTCAAGCTACCACAGAGTGGGTTTCCAAACCCCTTGCCCCTCCTAGTGTCATCTCTTTGTTCCTGTATGTTTCTATGGGTTGTTAGAGAGCTGCTCCATGTCACCATCACCCTAAGACACATCACTCCATTGAGCACATCATGCAACATGGCACATCAGAGCACAGAGCCGCCATAGCACTGATCCACTGCCTCCCTCCACAAAGCAGATTTGGACCGTGTACCACCAGAAGAAGCCAGTAGACCAGGCACCCGTGTCAATGTGGCCTTGAGGAGTTCTTATGTTTCCTGAGAGGCAGAAAGTGTCTTTTTCATGCACAGGTGCCTTGGCAGCAAGAGAACTCCAAGGGGTCTATGAGATGTGATGTGTTTCAAAGTGGGTTCTAAGGGAGCTAGCACACTTGGCTTCACAAGTTAGGTGTACTCTGAAGAGTGGCATGAAAACTCTGGTGACAACAATTCAGGACTCTTGAAGTAATTCATTCTCTGGGGCCAGACTAAAGTGAGAAGACAAGTGTGATGGACATGGGTATAAAGCTCAGCTCTGCCATTTACACATATTTGTGGGTTTGGGGCAAGTCATCTGACCTCCTTGAGCCGCATGTTCTCCCTCTCACAGTACAGAGGAATGAGGGTCCAGTAGGATCAGGTGTGGATCTCAGGTCAGTCTCTTAGATGGACAGCCCTCCACCCATACTCCCAGCTCCCAAAAGTCTCCAGGACAGCCATTATGGACTACAGCACACCTCAGTTCACAGGGCATCCTATATTATTTCATCTAGTCATTATAACCACATTAGAAAGACAGGATTTTCTCCATGTTTGCCATAAAGGAAGAGAAATCATGCTCTAGCTCCATTCTAAGGCATCAGGTGGTAACTTGAAATATGAGATTCCATGTTGCTGTAAAATACTACTGGAAGAAAAAAGCGGTGGTCTTGTGGGGGGAATGATACCCTGAGCCACAAACAGAGGCAGGGGTCCAGCAGTGCAGGTGGGGGTGCACCCAAACCTCTTCCCTGGAGAACCGTTATGATGTTAGTCCTTCCAGAAACTGAGGGACCTCACTGCCTTCATTTCCAAGAGCAATAATTAAAGGAGCCAAAATAGTAGCTGCCACTGCCTGGAGCACAAGCATCGTGCCCCTGGGCTGTGCTTCATCAGCTTTTTCTCATCCATTCTGAAAGAAATGACCCTGGAAGGTCGGCACTCAGAGATCACAAATGTGAACCACAGACTTAGGAAAGGTTAGCCACCTGTTCAAGGTCAACAAGGAGGACATGGCAGGCCATGGTGTGAGCCCACGCAGACTTCAGATCTTGTGCTGTTAGCCCATTGCTGCCATGGGAGACCTGCAGTTGGTTTTTATTTTTTTTCCTCTCTCTCTCTCTTTTAAAATTATTTTTTATTATTTTCCATGATGCAGTTTTGTAAGTATAAGGATTCCCCCCTTTTTCTCTCTTTTCTGGGATATAGATTTTCACTATTCATTTCTCGCTTACCATTTGAAAACTTGGTATTTTTATTACACCCAATGCTTCTTGTCTGAATCTTGTCTTTTGGTAATTAAATTCTACTGACAAAACTTTTGTAACTCTAGCCCCACTACGGGAATGATTTGGTGGCCAGTAATCCTTTCTCCCAAGTCCCTTACTCTCCAGCCTTCTGCACTCGGGGTCAGTCTTTCTCCCAAGTGGAGGCCGCTCCACACGTGATGTTGGAAAGAAGAGATGCTCACTGCACTGCCGACTCCAACTTCCCACCTGCAGAGAATCTGCAGGATCCATCCCAAAGACACCTACCTGATGACCATTTGCCTGTTGGGGTCGTAGAGTGACATGAAGAGTTCAGCGTCTTCCCCAATTCTGCACACAAAGTTTCTCACGAAGACATACAGGCTGTGGGTGGGGGATGAGGAGATGCGGGAATACATTCCATAATCTGGCTGGTCTTTCGTCTAAGAGATGGAAGGAAAAGGTGAGGGCAACAGTGAGAATTATAACAGTAACACTCGGAACAAAGAGAGGTAGCCCAGGATATGACTGAAAGCCACTTAGGCTCAAAGCCCCAAAGTGTCAGCATTACATCCAGCCCCATTACTATAATCTGACTCAAGCTGCTTGGACTCTTTCTGGCCTTCATCATCCTATCATGGGAAATACCACCAATGACTCAGTCTCTCATAAACAGGTATCAGAGAAAGGACAAACTATTAAAAAAAAATTTCATCAAAACTATCAATTTGGCTTATTGAAAGATGTATTTTTGAAAACGAAAAGGTTAGGTCAGATGTAGTGGCCTAGTAGGTTAATCTTCTATCAGTTAGTGCTTGCCTGCTCCATTTCTGATCCAGCTCCCTGTTTCTGCTCTGGGAAAGCAGCAGAGGATGGTTCAAGTCCTTGGATCCCCTGAAGCCACATAAAAGACCCAGAAGTTCCTGGCTTCTAGCTTCAAATTGGCTCAGCTACAGCCATTGTAGCCAATTGGGAAGCTAACCAGTAAATGGAAGACCTCTCTGTGTTTTTCCTTCTTGCTGTAAATCTGCCTTTAAAATAAAAATAAGTAAATCTTTAAAATAAAAAGATTTTTAAAATAAAATAGTAAGGCACAGGCTGGGAGAAAGTGACAAAGCATTCATGTGATAATTTGTATCCAGAATACATATACAACTCTTACAACTGACTATGAAGAGAACCATTCCAATTTGGGTAAAGTACTTGAACAATTTACAAAGAAGGTACAAACGGGTACGGATAGCAAGCATGTGAAGTCTCGTTCAGCACCACTGACCATCATGGCACAGCCACCATAAACAGCACCATAAACAAGACAATATCAAGTGCCATCAAGAACGTAGAGCAGCTGGACTTCTCTCTATTGCTGATGGAAATGAAAATCGTATGATCTCTTTGGGAAATAATACGGCAGTACAATATAAAAGTTGTACATATGCTATTCAACAATCCCACTGCAAGGACTGAGACATGTCTGTGCAAGGATGTGTCTGCCAATGTTCATGGCAGCATTCATTACAATAACCCAAACTGAAAGCTACTAATCAGTTAGTGATACATAAACCAACAATGGGCCAGTGGTATATCAACCCAACAATAAAAAAGACCAAAGTGCTAATATGCACAATAACCTGAACCTCAAAAACAGCACGCTGAGTAAAACGGGTCAAACACAAAAAGCTAACACTCTGATCCTATTTATATGAATCTCTAAAATAGGTGAAGCCACAGCGACAGAAAGCAAAGTAGGAATTGCTGGGGCTTAGGGATGGGGAGAGAGCACAAAAAAAGCTTGCCTGATGCAACCTTTCTGTCTTGATTGTCATAGGGTTTATTCCACATGACATCTAAGATTCATTATAGCTTAAAACGGGTGAATTTTACTCTGTGAAAATGATTATACCTCAAACCATCCAAAAATAATACTCTTTTTCAAATGCTGCACAGTAGGTAAAATGCTTTTGGAAAAAATATAAATTGAATTATGTTAACCATTCCTTAATATTTTTTTATTAGTTTCTCACAAGACTTGCAACACTTAACCCCCTTCCAGAACTCCACAGGCCTGTTGAGAGCTGCCACCATCTACTCACTGCCTACACTCCCCACTGCTCACACAAGTGTTCACACTGGACCTCTTACTCCTGAAATACTCGGAACTCAGTCCTATCTCAGTCCTACCTTACACTGGCGGCTCTCTCTTACCTAGGAACCCTGTCCCTAGGTCTTCCCAGAACAGGTGTCTCCTCAGCTATTTATTTGGGTTTATTTTAATATATTTGCTTTCTCTTGCCTCTAGAGTGTAAAAATATCATGAAATCAGAAAATGTGCCTGGCATTTAACTACCTGCGGGACGGATGCTGAATGAGTTACAGATCCGAGTATAAAAACACAATAAAACACATGTGGTTCCTCATCCTCTCAGTTCATAGGACAGATGGTCCCTTGAATAATTCAGAGTCTGGGTAATGAGCCTATTATTTTAAGTTTATGATGTGCTAAATGCCCGCCTCATTTGGCCAAAGCTCACCATTTCTTCTTTGATTCGCTCCGTGATTTTATCAGTCGCTTCCTCGTGGGCATGGAATAAACTGATGACACTGGTATTATCAGGGTCCAAGATGTTACCGTCCTCATCTCTGACAATTAGATCCAGCTCAAGGATTCTGAAAAGCAAAAAGAGGTGAAGATACCTTAATGGGGCCTTTTGGATGATGGTGGGACATTTTTTTTTACCAAAAAGTTCAAGCGATCATTTAAGATCATAGTATCACATAAAAAAAAAAAACTCTATTCCAAAAGACTTAGCTATGCATCCAACATTGTGGCATAGTGGGTAAAGTTGCTGCTTTGTTACACTGGTATCCTAAATGGATGCCAGTTCATATTCCAATTATTGCACCTCTGATCTAGCTGCCCGTTAATGTGCCTGGGGAAGCGGTGAAAGATGGCACAAGTGTTTGGGCTCCTACACTCACGTTAGAGTTCTAGAAGAAGCCCCCTTGACCACTGTGGCCATTTGGAGAATGAATCAGCAGGTGGAAGAACTCTCTCCCTCTCTCTCTCAAAACAAATAGGTAAATCTTTAACAAAAAGACTCAGACACATTAGGGAAAGTACACATTGGCCTAGCAGCCTCTTTGAGAGGTACTGGGTCAACATGTGTGATTTTTAAAGACATGCTATTTCCTGTGATATTAAATAGAAAAAAAAACCACACACCAATAAGGACTCTGTGAGTGCATTGTTCACATTTAAAAAAAAAAAGCTGATTAAAAAAACGGAAAAAAGCTTCTCTCATAAAAGAAATGGCTAAATAAGGTGAGATTGCTGACACAATACTCTAGTATAGATGAGAATCTCAATGAAAATATTCAAGTGTGCAAAGATACATATAGTATGCTTTGTGCAAAAAGAACAAAAAAAAATTTGTTACCTGAGCACATGGATAAGAACAACAACAAAAAAAAGCCAGGTCCAAATTTACAAGACAAATCACTTGTGAGAAATGATCAGGGCCTGGGAGCTGGAGGAGATCAAAGCAGACACGTGACTTGTCTCCACTTGTTTAATGTTTTAGTACATATATAGAGAGGAGAGAGAGAGAAGGCAGTAATACATTTTTCATTGAAAATTTTTTAAAAAGGTAGTTGGGACACACAGCAACCTCAGCTCTATTGAACAATATCCACAGCTTGTTTTTCAGCTGCTTTGTCACATGATTTTCCCTGTTTGGAACTGATCTGTTGGCACCACACCTGCCATCCTGCTGAGCGTCAGCGGCACTGAGCACAGTGGCACTCACATAAAACTAAAGCTGAGTTTGTATACACTGCCGGACACACATTAGCCCATGTAATCCTCCCAGCAATCCAAAGGGGAGATACTCTTTAAAACCTCAAGTTATGGATGGTGAACAGACTAGGCATAAGGAAGAATGTGGTGAGTTGCAGCACACATAGCAGGTAACAATGAACACGACATTTTTGACGGTGCTCTTGACCTCTGTGGGGTATACCTCCTGGATAGGAAGAGCTTAGGAGCAGGATATAGGATAGGGGTGGGGTGCACGTTTGCAAAGGCTTTCACTTGAAGTTGGTTTTGCATTTGATATTGAGCTACTCATCGCATCAAGGAGGGTGGAGGAGGTGCGGGTGGGTTCCAGGAAGACTGGCAGTGCTCCTGCTTGGACACCAATGTCAAGCATGAGATTCAGGATGGGCAGCAAGGGCAAATGAAGGAGACGGGGTCTTCACCTCTTGTCTGAGAATCGAACGGAGAGGCACATCTCTCAACCAAATGCAGACAGATGGGAGCCTGGGCTCACGCATGTGTCCATATTCATTAGGAAACTAACTCCCAGGCAGATGTGACTCATAATGCCGCACAGCCACACTGCCTGGCAGGCGATGCCAGGGGAGCAAAAGCATCCGGCTAATGCCGAGCAGAGAAGCTGGTGTGACCTCAGAAAAGACAGAGTGTAGCCGATACATAATTTAATGCCAGGATCTCTCTAGCTCTTTCTCTTCAAAATTTATCAAAGTGGATTCTGTTCTAAACTATTTGAATAAAACATTCCCGTCAGGTCCAGCTAGCTTAAGATTAGGAGAAGTCATTCAAGGATCTTCTCCTTCCTTCGATCCCAAAGAACTTATCCAGGACCATTCCACTCTAACTTTGGGGTTTTCAGAGTCCTGGAGAGAAGGGAAAACCTCCGATGGCCCAGGACCAGGAGAGTGTGTCCCACAAGAGGACAGCTGGAACTTCGTGACCACTCATGTAAGGGAGACGAGTCTTCTGACACTTTCTCATCAGGTTGTAACCCCGATGCTGTTGTCTGTTTAAGGAAGTGACAAAATGAATTTAAGACAGCAACAGAGCAAAAAGCTCTCTCTGTCCCATCCTGTCCTACATTCTCTCAGAAGCAACATCAATACATGTTTGTATTTTAAAAAACCAAAGCTATGGAAAACAGAAATGATTCTTGCCATGGCTCCCCATCACCTTCTACACAAATCCAGGTTCTGGCATTTGACACTCGGGTCCTCAAGCTTCCGGTCCGCGACCTTCCTGCTCTCCTCTCCAAGGTCATGTTCAAAGCTCATATCTCCTCATGTTTGTTCCTTCTCTCTCTGAGTGCCTCTGTCATCCTTGTTAGATTTAGAGCATCTCTCATCCTACCTGGCCTCCTGTCACCTTCCTGTCCAGGCTTCTTCCTCTCCTGGGGTTATATAATGTCCCACATAAGGTGTTTGTTTATAAGGGGCCTTCATGAAGTTCATGGAGAAATAGAATCAAGGGCCCAGCGCAGCAACCTAGTGGCTAAAAATCCTCTCCTTGCATGCACCGGGATCCCATATGGGCGCCAGTTCTAATCCCAGCAGCTTCACTTCCCATCCAGCTCCCTGTTTGTGGCCTGGGAAAGCATTCGAGGACGGCCCAAAGTCTTGGGACCCTGCTCCTGTGTGGGAGACCTCAAAGAGGCTCCTGAACCCTAGCTTTGGATCAGCACAACTCCAGCCATTGCAGCCTGTTGGGGAGTCAATCGGCGGATGGAAGATCTTCCTCTCTGTCTCTCCTCTTCTGTGTATATCTGATTTTCCAATAAAAAATAAAACAAATCTTACAAAAAAGAAAGAAATAGAATCAAAAGTATGAGCTGCTTGAGTACCAAAAAAATTAAGCATATGTGCAAAAAACATACCATGAAAAACGGCATCTCTACTTCCATTACTAACCCCGCACAGTGTCTGGGAAGCAGCAGAATACGGCAGTTAGACCTTAAATTCTGCCGCCACACCCCCTACATCCTGGGAAAAGTTGCATAATCGCTCGGCCAGCTTCAGTTTTCCCATCTGAGAGGTAGGGATGGCAACAGTCCCTACCTCACCAACTGATCTCAGGTGAGAGTGTGCAACAGCCTCTTGGCGTACAGTGAGCACTGCGTGGGTGACCATTTGCTCTTACTGCTGGCATTTTTCTTAGTGCAAGCTTTTTTTTAACAGTTGCTGTTGTTATAAAAACAAACAGACTATATTTCACGTGTGACTGAACCTTTGGAGCCTAGCAGGTGTGCAATGCAAGTCTGCTGTGTGAATGAAAGACAGGAACAAAAGAGGGATAACATGGATGAATCAGTTCTGCTCCATGCTTCTCTGACCCTCACAGTCACAGGTCAGTGTCCCCTTTTACTGCTCCTGATCCTCTGGCCAATGCTAGGCCCCCAGGCCAGTGCAAAAGTGCCTAGTGCCTCTCCCCTCTGAAGCTGTCAGAGACAGGAAGCAAGGAGCCAGGGGCCCCTTGGCTTGGGGCCTCCGTCTCCGCAGCAGGGCATCTGTCACTTCCCTAAAGGAAACTGACTGAGATTGAAAGCAAAAGGCTTGGTCAGGCAGATGCTGCAGAGCCTTCTTTGCCATTGCCACCATTCCCCCAGCCATTCAGTTATTGCTCTCTGAACTCCTGCTCTGGGCAGATTTGGTTGCACACAGGGACAGAGGTCTTGTCTGAGGGAAGCTCCCGGAACAGCAAAGAAGGTGGGCCAGGCAGGAGACAATTGCTCTCCTGGATGTCTTTTAAGGGCCTTCAAGAGCCAGTAACTCAAGACAGGGTGGGTAAGGGAAGGCTTTCCTGTGTGGCAACCCTTTCATCCATCCTTGATCCTTCCTTCCAGGAAGCTTGCCGAGGAAGTAACATCTGAAGGAGGCACACGGCAATGAGCAAAGCACCGTCAATTCCCATGCTCCCAGCTGCAACTGGGCTCAGTTAAAGACGCCACTGCAGGCATGGCAGAGTGGCTGTGTGCCCAACCTCCCTGTCCATTCTTGTAAGCAGCCTTGGAAAGGCCAGCCAGCTGCCACCAGGGGATCCAACAGACGGACTGTGCTCCCAGGACAGGAGGCCGCTGGAAGGTGGGATTCATTGACTTTCTTCTGTGTGTTCTCATCCCAGCACCCACGACAAGGACAAGGACACCTGGCTATGAGGCAAACTTCCTATCAAGTGAGCTCTTTCTGCTTCCCCTCTGAAGTCCCAGGCTTTGCAGCCTCCCGAACATGCCAGGTTCTCTCATACACCCTTACAAACTCTCACATGGCTTTATCCTTCCAATTTCAATTCAGAAGTCACCACCTCCAGGAAACCTCCCTGGACTTTCTTCGCCATGTCAAATTAAGAGTATGTGTGCTTCCTAAGTCCACAGACTTACCGGAGCACAAGCCATCAGCTCACCTGTAGCTTTTCCCACTAAAAGGACAATAATCCTGTTGTGCACAAGGGCTATTATTTCTGTAGCCCCAAAAGCCAACAGAAAAGCAATCCAATGATTTTAAGTTGGGACAAAAGAAATGAATGGGTATATGGAGAGCATTCAAGAAAGCAAGCAAGCAAGCAAGAATGCCCTGAGAGTTCTCAAACACCGTCCATGGACAGTGAGGCCCAGGTACTCTGAGCCTGAGCTAGGCCACCTGGCTCTAAACTCTGGCTCTTCCACTTCCTAACTGTGCAACTCTGGCCGAGTGACCTAAGCTTTCTGAAAAGCCTCAGTTTCTTTGTCTGGTAAAATGAGACTTGCAAAAGCACATTCCCCATAGAAGCCTTGGGAGAGCCACATGAAACAAGGCATGTAAAATGTTCAGCACCAAGCCTGGCACCTAGGAGATTTCAGTGTTATATTATTAGCTCTGCTATTATCATCCATGGATTGCTCTGCCTCAAAAAACTGTTTCATTTTCTCCTTTAACTTCCTAGCCATCAATGACAACTAATTGCTGCCTCTCTTCCCCCTTTCTGGCAAGACTTTTGTTTCTGTGCTTTTGAGTGAGCCCATGGCATGTAGCTTGGATAATTGAAAAAGGGGGAAAGGGGCAAAAAGTCTCACGCTGGGATGTAAAGGAGAGTCTTCTAGATGCAGGGATGAAATGACAGCTAAGCTGAAAGTGCCCCAGCGTGACTGTGCTGCCTAGTCCCTCGGAAGCAGGTTAAATGAACGTCCTAAATCTCTCAGCCTGATAATAAGCACTGCATAAGCAAGTGTCCGCTCTCAGCTTGCATGTCCCTGGGTCCCAGGGGAGTGATGACAAAGGGACACCAGCCCAGCTGCTGCCAGCAGTCCTCTTCCAAACAGAAAGTGGCCAACTCGCTGCTAAAAATGAGCTTCTTTCTAGGGTGGGGAAGGGAAGACCAGGGTGGTAGGAGTGGCGAGGTAGGAGGAATGTATGGGCGAGGAAAGCTGCTTTTCATAGGAGAGAGAGAGGTTACTTGTTGCCATAGTCGATTTTGGACGTGACTTTCTGCTTCAGTTCCTTCAGCTCATCTTTGGGTAGAGTTCCTGAGAGGAGCTGAGACCTCCACTCCATCAAGTCGTACATCATGGACTGCACCTGCAGGAAACGCTCCTTTTTGCTGGCCTAGGAGACAAGAAACAATTTGCTCTCATCTGCACCCCAGAAGCCCAGGCATTGATTTAACAAACTATGCCTGAGGCAGGTGAGCCTGTTCAAGGGCCACAGCTTGAGCCTCCCTCCCAGATTAAGCAGTGGTTATAGTTGCTAATCTACTTCTTGCCATTGGTCCATGGAAGTTTTCAAAAAGCAGACGGCATAAACCCAATGACTTCTTAGCTACAGGAAGGGTGATTCCTGACTCCTGCAGACTTAACAGGAGGGCCATGAGTCTCTGTTGTCAGGGGGAACCCAGAGCATAGGCCATTCTAGGCTGGGAACCAGGACCATTTCTCAGGTGATAAAGGACAATTTCTAGGTCAGCAGTCCCAAACATGGCCTATGGGAGGGGGGAGTGCAAGATGACTCTTGGTGCCATGATTCTGTTGCATGTTCCATCTACTATTCTACGAAGGAAAAGCTGTAACTTCACAGTAATGTGTCTTCACACCTCTTGCCCATTTGTGGTTGGAACGATGTAGCCTGCCATGAAGTTTCTTATGTAAGCTGTCTCAACTTTACCAAAAAGAGAGTCCATTTGGGTGTTAAGTAAACATCACACAGGTGGTACAGCTGAAGCGACTGAAATGATTGAGCTTTAAGGATTTCTTGACTAGTGTCAAAGGCATGATGGACTTGCCACTCCAAGATTTCAAATAGAAAATGCCAAGTCTCTACCACACATGTGGATGCGATATGTTAAATGGCTGTAATGGAGAGGCACACAAAATCAGTTTAGCTACAAGGCTATCATTTGCCTCTAAACCTTCCTAGTGGATCATAGAGAACTTAGAGAAGCGAGGGTACAAAGTATCACATGTCATAAAATGTGCACATCAACAAAGAAAAGCCTACAGATGACACACATGCCAGCAAATGTGCATGGCACAGGTTAAACCATGGTTGACATTTTCACTCTCAGCTTAATGGGTTGCTTAGCTAATCGTTTTCATTAGGAGTCCCGAAGCATCAAAGGATGTAAAATTAGGTCTCAGAACAAGGAAAACACATGCATGATGTGCTCTTTTTTTTTTTTCTTTTCTCAAAAATGGCACTTTTTCATGGGTCTGAGGATGAGAACCATCAATTAACTAATATATGAAAACAGTATGTCTGTAGGTATTATCAGCAGATTACTAAATCAATTCCCCTGAGTCTATTAAAAACTCCACCAGAAAGAATGTTATGTTTTGAACAGAGAATAAAGTATGACAAACTTTGGCACTAGTTTGATAACATACACATCACGCCAAACTCCACTTATTATGGTTCTGGTACCAGCCAATTGATTTTGTGATCACCACTTCACCTCTCTGGACCTTGATGTCCTCATACATAGTCACGTGTGCTCTGCTATGTCACCAAGGCCACCTTGGCCTGCCCTGCTCCAGGCTAACCTCCAAACGTGGACCAAGCTGACAACTACAGATGCTTCCATCCGAGGAAGAAGAGTTTGGGATCTTACCACATACAGCTGCTTCCAGATGCTGCCCCATTCCCAGAGTGTTGTTGTGACTTCCTGGGCTAGAGGGATTTCTGCAGGGATGATGTGCTCTGTATTTCTAGCAAAGACAGGAGAGAAAAACGGTGTTGAGCTGAGACTCAGTTGTTAACTAGAATCAATGCTGACAAGTTCACATTCAATCACAGCTGCTAAGAGGGCCCTTGCTGATGTTAGACTGAGCTGCCTCCAACAGCCACACCAACTGCATCACAGAGGCACACAGGACTTCGTTTCTAGCAACCTCCTTTCTGAGAGTATACGCTTCCTCATTATTCAGAATCCATGTGCTTTAATACAGTGCAAAGGAGATTGCCAGGGAAAAGTCTAATTCTCCATGCCAATTAGGTTTCCCCTGCCCCCAGAATTAGATCTGAACCTGAATGAGTTTGGATTAGTTGTCATATCCAGGCAAGGAAAGATTCACAAATAGACATGGGCAACAGAGAAGGTGAGGAGCACCCTGCAGCTCTGCCAAGCCAGATGCTCACAGTCAATGCAAAAAGGTTCTAGGAACCCCCTAAGGGCCAGACCTGGTAAAGAAAGTCAGATACCTTTTTTTTTCGACTGTCACATCTTTGATATGGATAAAAGATCTGGGGAAAATGCCCTGTTGGAAAGAAAACAAAATAAAATCAAAAGAAGTATCTCTATTCCAGGTCACTATGATTTCCACCCCTCCATCCCCAAATCACTGACTAGACACATTTCCAGACATCAAAAGAATCATTCCAAAGGCAGACAGAGCAGGAGCAGCGTGTTTGCATTGCCTTGCTCAGGTGTAGCTATTTCTAAATCCCACAATGGATCAGAATCTGAATCTAAAGGATGCTCCAATGCCACTGGAGATGCTTATCCTCCTTGGTAGGCAAGGAGAGAGCATTCTTTGAAAGATGATCTGAGCCACTTACTTTGAATGAGACAAAAAAGCCCTGCTTCTCTCCTTCTCCTGCCCACCTCCAGGAAGGTAGCTGCCCTTCACAGTCGGGAACAGGTACATGCTCAGGGCCCATCAGACCTCTTCTCTTTGCATTTGTTTTTTGGAGAGAACAGAGCAGGATCTTGCCACTCAACAATAGCACATCAGGAAAGAAAGAAGCAGCTTCTACCATTCCCTTGCTCCACAAGAGTGGCTCATTTAATGAGAAGTTAATCAAGTATTTAGAAATTCCTTCCTAATTGAAACCTCGGTGGACACTGGATACATCTGGTCTCTGTGCTAGACATACCGTGAGTGAAGACCAGATGAGCCAAGCAGGTGCCTGCTCTTACAGAGATGACAGTGTGTGTCATTTGGGACTGAAAACAAGAGAGGCAGGCACAAGGGCCTGTCCTGTCCATGTGTCATGTCAAGTGTATAATTAAGGAGGCAAATGAATGCCCCCAACAACTCCAAAGGAAGACAACAGATATCAAGTAAAGAAATGCATCACTCCATGGAGAGTCGGAGAGGAGAGTAACCATCAGGAAAGAGTACAGGGAGAAGGGAACATGGAGGCTGCCCTTAAAGAATAAGGGAGAAGGGAAGGAAGTTGAAGCAGAGCAACTGCCTTTCTTCCCTCCTTGTGTCTGACCACAGAACACACAGAGCGAAGAACGGGTATGGCCTGGAAGCAAATGTGGGAAAGAATTACGTAAACAATCGGCCAAGTGATGTAGAGATATTCAGTGCTGTCCCTGATGACAATGAAAAGTCTTACCTGCAACATTTTGTGCTTTATCAAGTAGCCCCTATACCAATCTGCAAAGAGAAAACAAAGAAACAGATCTTTGATGCAAGTTCACAAATTTCCTACTGGTGGTGGTGTTTTGTCTTTGTTCTGTTTGTTTGTTTGTTTGTTACCAGCAAAGAAATGATTGCAAACAGCTTTCAGACACGTGATAGGGATCGAAGTCTGGGAGTGTAGTGTTATGAAATCTATTGAATTGGTTGCCAACATCTCAGCATAACAGCTTCAAACCACTGGGATCTCACACAAAGATGTAATTTTTCCCTTTCTTTTTGTGAAGAACTAAGAGCCTCAGCCACGCTGGCCAGAATTTCCTCTAGTCTCCTGGTTCTAGCTGACTGGTGGGGAAGAAGAGCAATACCCATCAAACAGAGCAGGTCCCTCCAACTCTGCAGCCCCTCCCAATCCTTCTGCTCACTTGCCGCGCTTGCCCCAGGGCCCCATGTCCAGGTAGGTGGGCCCCAGGATCACCTATATGTTTTCCAATTCCTGCCTCCTGGATACAGAAAGGCTTGTGGATTCTGACAAGCATCCTAAAATAATATTCACAGCTCTAACCACAGTATTGTGACTGGCAGTTAGTCATCACACACACACACACACATACACACACAAAGGTAAGGTCAGAGACAAGCAAAGGGACGGGAATTTTATTAGATAAGAAATCTTAACAAATGACTTTATTAATAGAAATCCAAATCTCAGGCAACTCTCTGGCCAAATGAGCTTCGGTGCAGTAAGTACTGATGACTACCCTGAGTGTGCTGGCCTTTAAAATGATTTGAGCACAGTCAAGCAGTCGTATTTGTCATCTCGGTAAATAAAATGCGTCTGTCGGGTGCCTCATTAGCAGACTCTCATTACTGGGCTAACAGATTGTTGCCAGAATGCAACAGACCCACGTGGGAGCCCCCAAACCAGCAACTTAAAATGAAAACTCATGAGCCAGAAAGAAGGTCAGGTCTGAAAGACAGAGCTAAAGAAACCGGGGGTCCTATTTTGAGCAACAGGAAGTGACAGGAAGGAGAGAAGATAGAAGGGACAGAGAATAAAGAAACAGAAAGGAAGGGAGGGAGATGGAAGAGAGGGAATCTCAGGTCCACAGCACTCACTGAGTAGCAAGGCTGCTGGCTCCAACACAGATGTCTGAGGTAGGGACTGCCATGATCCCAGCTAACGGATGAGTGGTCTTCTGGAGGCACAGAGACACCTAGTGAGCTTACCAGGGATACACAGCTAATAGATAACAGTACTAAGATTCGAACCTACACAGCCACACATTGTGCTTTCTGACTTAAGGAATAAGGAGTCTATTATTCTTCTAATATTTCCATTTCTCAGCAACTGAAACATCTGTTAGCTGCTAAAATAATTAACAGTGGTGTTTATACTTTTAAAGTGTTTACTATATACTGGGAACCCTGTTTGACTCTTTTTTTTGACATTGTAAATTAATATTCATGACAATCCTATCAAGTAGGATGCATGCTGCAGTTCTATATATTAAACAGACAGAAACAGAGATTGGGCAGTTCACTGCTGGTCACATAGCTCAGGTCTGTTGTAGCCGAGATGAAATGCAATCATGTGACTTCCAGAGGCAATCCTTGCCACATAAGGACCACCTTTCCCCTCCCACCAACAAGATAGGAATACAGCTTTGCAATATTATCACTAACCACCATTCATTGATCATAAGAGGCATGCAAAGTTGTGTGCTAAGTGTGCAACGGGCACTCTCCTTTAATTCTCATAGAAATACTGAACTAGGTATTAACATTCCAATTTTCAAATGAGAAAAAGTTGAGATTGACATCAAGATCAACCCATGGCTCAATCAAGACCACGTGATTTTAAAGTCAGCCCCCAAAGTTGTGAAATCACATTAATGGGGACAGAGCACAAGTATGTGTAACTCTAGGTCACCCAAATCCCCCACAAAATCTAGGAAAACAATGGCAAGACCCACGGCCACAATCACTCAGAGTTCATGCCCCCTCTGCATCTCTATGACAGGAGGCCTCTCAAGGTGCCTTGATTTTTTTGATCCAAGCATTTGCCTACCCTGACCTCTGATACTTAGTCACAAGTACCTGTTTTGGAGGCTTTGTGGTTCTCAAAGCTTCAGCTCATTTCTGAACACAAGAATCTGCTGACACTTGCCCCCAGCCTCCACATCTTGGCCCCTCAGACTCAAGGCCAAGCTGCACTGATGGCACACCTACTAGGTACACAGCACTGGTTTAGTGTTTTCATAAACAAAGCTTGAGTGATTTTACAAGAAAAATGTATCACCATTTCCACTTGCCAGATTATAGCAGTGAGACTTGAAGGAGAGATCCCAATATTCTTCAGCAAAACCAAACCCATGTCTAACGCAGCAGCTGTACCAAGACCACCCTCAAGGTTGCTGGGTCCTGGACCTCTGGTGCTGATGGCAACTCCCTAATTTGCCCATCATACACCTCTACCTCACTGTTCCAAGAGTGGACTGGGCAAACAACAACAGTTGACACACAAGGGAAAAATTCCCAAGATAAGGTCAGTGTGATCAAAAGTAGGCTCACCTTGGGCCCAACACAATGGCTCAACTGGCTAATCCTCTCCTTGCAAGGGATGGGATCCCATGTGGAGCTAGTTCATGTCCTGTCTACTCCACTTCCCATTCAGCTCCCTGCTTGTGGCCTGGGAAAGCAGTGGAGGATAGGTCAGGACTTTGGGATTCTACACCCTGGTGGGAGACCCAGAGGAGTCTTCCAGCTCCTGGCCTTGGATTGGCCCAATTTCAACCATTGTGGCCATTTGGGAAGTAAACCAGTGGATGGCAGATCTTTCTCTCTGTCTCTCTTTCTCTCTGTAAATCTGCCTTTCCAATAAAAATCAATACATCTTAAAAAAAAAAAAAAAAAAAAGAAGGAGGAGGCTCACTTTATCATAGCCCAGGACTTGCTTGAGCACAACTTTATTTTGAGTTTATGAGGTCAAGAGTGTAGACCCTTACAGGAAAGCTCACACCCTCTCTTCCCCTCTGTGTCCTCTGCCATATGAGAATACAATAAGAACACATTCAAGTTCAGACTAGGAAGTGGGCCCTCAGCAGACACCATATATGTCCATGCCTCGAACTTGGACTTCTCAGTCTCCAGAACATCAAGAAAGAAATTTCTGTTATTTAAGCCATCTGGTCCATGGTATACTATTACAACAGCCTGGACTTTGACATGCATCCTGAAGGGAGAGGAAAAAGGTACTTTTTAGTTTTACAATATCTTTTTAAAAATTATAAAGTGTCAATTGTTCAACTCATCTTCCTTTCCCAACTTGAAAATCAAGAACTCCCAAATTCTCAAACCACTGTGGAGTCAGGACAGAAAAGGAAAAATAAAAAATATTCTAAAACCTCAGAAAACAGTTCAAGCCTGAAAACCTAGTCCTTTTTCCCCCATTTCCAAGAAACACGACATTCAGTTATGTCACTTAAGCCTCCTTGTTTTCACCTGCAAAAAGGAAAAAAATACTGCCTCACAGATGACTATACTTAAATATATCTTTAAATATTTTAAGATATCTGGTAAATGCACTAAACCTTGAGAAAGAAGAAAAACATAACAATTTCATGATAATTGATACCTGTAACATGGATAAAAGAAAAACAATGGACTAGGGGAGGAGTAAAAATAGCTTTTCAACTGCATCTGAAATTTTTATTAAAGAAATGTCTGGAACAAGAACAGAGAATCTTAGTACTTATCTGAATGATGTGCGCCTGAATGGACTTTGTACTTAATTATATAATGAATTATTTACTGTTAAGATACCACAGAAGCTGATATCTATCAATAGGTAATACTAAGCAGCTGTTTTGTTTTGTTTGTGGGGTGTGTTTGCTTGTTTGTTTTTAGCAGAAAGTACGCCAGCAAAATTTAATGAACAAATAGAAAAAATGAAAACAGTACACCTGACAGACCAGGTGGGCATCGCAGCAAAGAACTGAAAGCCAACTCTGACTGCAAAGCTTCTACACAGCAAAGCAATCAACAAGACCAAATGGCATCCTACAGATTGGGGGAAGATATTTACCAATCATATATCTGATCAATGGTGAATATTCAAAATGTATAAAGAACTTCGGCTTCTCAATAACAGAAAACAGTTAAAACTGGAGTGGGGGGAGGGGCAGCATTGTGGCACAGCAAGTGAAGCCACCATCTGTTACTCCAGCATCTCAAATTGGAAAGTGTGTTCAAGTTCCAGTTACTTTGCTTCTGATCCAGCTTCCCGCTAAGGCGTCTGAAGAAGCAGCAGAAGGTAGCCAATGTACTTGAGCCCGTGACAGCAACACAAGAGAACTAAAGGGACTTTCTGACTCCTGGCTTCTATCTGGTCCAGCCCTGATCATTACAGCCATTTGAGGCATAAACCAACAGGTGGAATCCCTCTCTCTCTCTCTCTCTCTCTCTCTCTCTCTCTCTCTCTCTCTCTCTCTCTCTCTTTCTTGCTCTTGCTACCACTCTACCTTTCAAAGAAATACACATTGTTAATAAGCAAAGGATCTGAATACACATTTTCCAAGAGCAGACACCAAAATGGGCAAGAGGTATTTGGAAAAAAATTGTTGAAGGTCATTAATTTTAAGGGAAATGCTCATTTAACCCACTATGATATATTGCCTCATTCCTGTTACAATAATTAGTGTCAAAAGGCCAATGATAACAAATGATTGTGAAAGCATAGAAATAAGAACCCTGCTACCCATGGATAGGAATGCACATTGTGCACTGTGGAAAACAATATGGATATTTCTATAAAGAAATGAAAAATACAGCTATCATGTGACCAGCAATCCCACTTTGGGCAACTACCCAAACAGAATGAAATCTTCACGTGGTAAAGATAAGAGTACTCTGGGTTTTTTTTTTTAAGTACAATACACGAGAGTGAAAAATAGTAGCTACCAGGGATCACAGGGTGCACCAGGCTTGGAGGGTTTGGAGGAAGAAAATGGAGATGT